TTTTTTTTTTTTTTTTTTTTTTTTTTTTTTTTTTTTTTTTTTATTAAAAAAATACGTTTAAGGGTTATCTCAGATCGTTTACTCATATGTACATATGTATGAAGATAAGATCGCATTCAATCTTATAGACAAACAATAAAAAAAATATCTCTGTGCAAGCAATTCATAGTAATTCAAAGTTGAAACAAACAGATTTCAACCATTTTTTTTTTTATTTAATTTAAAAAAAAAAAGTAAAAATGTTTTTCTGTAAATTGTCGATTGCTAATTTTTTATTAAATAAAAATATTATTACTGCTTATTTTTATGCACATTTCCCTTTGCTGCATTTTTTGTTTTTCTCACCATTAATTACTCCAGCCTGTCGTAAGCTGATAAGCGGTTGAAATTTCAATAAAAATATTTATTCCTGATTAATGTAATATAAAACTTTAATTACATAAGAATATATGTGCAGACATACATGTACATAAGATGCCTGTGTGAGACAACACGAAAGCTTCTGAAGATGACTTTGAAATCAAAATACATGATTTACCGAACTGTAAGAGAATTGCTGATTTTAGGGAGAGTCCTACGGTGGGGTTTATTTGGATATTATTTTTATTTAAATTTTGAATTTAAGAATTTTTCGCTAAGTTTAAATGACTAAATTTTTCCTGCTGGTCATCGATGTGTGTAAAAATGATTTAAAAACATGTATAACTGAAGAAAGATCACCAGTTCGGTTTTTGACCGCATTTCAGTAAAGGAGAAACAAAAACAACAACCGATTAATTTTTAATATAATATATTGATATTGATTAAAAGCATAGAAAAATACATATATAAACGAAGTATAATTAAAAAAAATTATTAATCTGTAGACATTTTTATTAGAGCATTTCGGACAAAGTACTTTGGAATTATCTCTATTTAAATGAATATTATTTTTTACTTCTTGTCTTCATCATTGCAGTAAAAGTAATGTATACGCACATACACACACATATACAATACATATGTTAGCAAAGAATTTTGTTAATCTTTAAGAACATCTTGTTGATAGGTACAGTTATTTCAAATGCGAAACTATACATTTTTTTACTAATTTCCTCTTCTTCTTTACTGGCGTAAGCACCGCTTACGTGCTTATAACCGAATCAACGATCAATTGGAAACATCAAGTGAAACCAGTACGACTTCCAACTGACCCTTTAAACGGAGTAGAGGTCTTCTTCTTCCTCTACTTCCAACAGCAGACACCGAATTGAATATTTTCATTCAGTTGGCCGCTCTGGCTCTTAATTCATTGAACTATAGCAATTTTACCGTATAATTCGTATAGCTCTTAGCTCCATCGTCTGTGGTATTCGTCGTTGTCGATGCCCAAAGGACCACCAATCGATCGCTAAAACTTCTCCCTCGAAGACTCTCATCAAATGTCAGCATCGTCCACGTTCCTGCAACTGAATGATGGGCGACTTGTAGAGTTTGGTATTGGTTCGTCGAGAGAGTACTTTACTTTTCAATTGCTTAGTCTATCCGATGTAGCATCCGTTGGCAAGAGAGATTTTCTGCGTTTGATTACCAGGCCAAAATTGTTGTTATTGTTAATACTGGTTCCAAGATGGACGTAGTTATCTACGACCTCAAAACTATGACTGTCAACAGTGACGTGGAAGCCATGCCGTAAGTGCGCCGACTGTATGATTGATGGCATGATATCTGCTTCGTTTCTATATAAAATTTGGAGAAGGCAGAGCCATATGTGAGGTTGTCATGGCCTATTGATATCTTTGGCATATGTCAACAGACGTACAGTCTTGTAAAGGACTGTATCATGCCTATTTAGCTCTTATTATTTTTTCAGCAACGAACTGAAGAAATCACTCGAAAAAGAGTCACGCTATGTGAAACTTTGTTTAGTATCGATTAGCTCGGAGAGGTCTTTCACGGTTCAGACCATAATACTTTACGAGGATGCCAAGCACAGGCATAGCGCTGCAGCGGCCGTCGTCTAAGACTGTTTTAAGATCGATTAAAAGGTGAAGTGTATTCTATTGTATCTTTCTTTCACGGGTTTCATCCAATAATTACTGCATGGTGAATATCTGGTCAATGGTGAGCTTACCAGCTAAAAAGCACCACACTATAAGATCCAATCAGTTTGTTGGAAATTCTTTCAATCATCTTCGATTGTAGTTTCCGGTTCACAGGTCCATATGTTGCATCCCCCCATTGTTGCACCCCCTCATAAAAGTTATGTTCTGGACACGTGGTTACCAAATTACCACCTTGGTTGCTATATGAGTATGCCCAGGCTTTGAAACTTTCTGAGAGTTGCTAGAATTCTCGAGTTTCGGCCTCTTCCCTCTGTTGCCTGCGAATGCAGCTTGCTTTCCTCTCCAACTATCGGTAACTAACTTACCTCACACATCGTGTGGTCAATCTTAAGGTCGCGAGGTGGGCAATTTGTTTTCTATGCACTGTAGTACGACATTTCCCCTCGTACCAGCTCCTTTGCTGGCACCAATTGAGGTAACTTCACTTTTCCATTAGCCTTCATATTCTAGTGTTATTTTTTTTAAATTTTCCCTGCTATTGAGCGAAGTGGAGCCTCAGTTGATCTTACCCTTCGTGTAAGCATGTTACGACTTTGATAGGCCAACTCACGACTGGTTAACCCTAATGTAGCTGTTGAGGATTTTAAGGGTTTTATAAAAGGTATGAGCTTAGACTAGTTTGTCTGTATCATTCACTTGATAGAGTTTTACGTAATTTAGAAGTTAAATAAAAGAGATATTTCTGCATGGGGTTGCCACTTTTACCCTTTTTCTTTTTTTTTGGAATTTAATTACAAAAATATTAATTGTATCTTAGAAGATAATTTTAAGTACGTACTTGAATTTATTAATAAATTTTTCTATTTTTTTTTTTAGTAAAAAGGCAAATTTGACATTTTGGGAGCCAATGTAGTTGGCGCACTGTAAACGCTGAAACTATTTTTCTAAGGCGTTTTGGATCAAAAAATATTTATTTTTTTACGCCATATATTATAATTTTAGAATATGTGTTCAAAGGAATTTTGCAATACGATGAATATTTTTCAAATGGCAGCTTCTCGAACACACCGGTCTCACGTGAACGCCGCTGCGAAATTTCAAAAAACTTTGAACGCATTTATCTCGAAGCCATATTTTTCGATCTAACTTCAAGCACCGGCCTTGATCTATCCGTTCGATTTTTTTTCTTATCTGAAAACTGTTTCAAAGTATATAGTTTTTTTGTACGTCTTGAACCTTAAATTAGCATTAATAATTAATTAGTTTTATTTATTTAACGTAATTGAGGTGGAAAAGGTAGTAAAAAATTTAAATTTATAATTGCAATTAGCATTATGCAATAAATTTATCGTTAACATTGTTACAATTGAGATTTAGGACGTAGAAAATTTCATGATCTTCCCGTAATGATAACGATTTTGGATTTCAGTCCACTATAAGAGGCTGTAGGCTTGAAGTTGTTGGGCCATGTCTTTCGCGCAGAGGCCGACGGAAAGCGTTATTTTGAAGCCATTATTGTTATTATAAGATCGACTATTTTTGCCATTTTTAAATCTCAAATAATAAACAAATTTCATAGTCAAAACCGGAAGTTCGTACACTTTTTCATTCTCCCACAAAAAAAAAGAATACAAAATTTGCCACATTTTTGCCTAATATCAGGGGAAGATCCCCTTAACTTAAGTTATTTTTTTATTATATTTTTTTGTTTGCTATTTAATTGCTTTTTCACTTTCTTGCGCTTTACTCTTCCACTTCATTAAAATATTAAAAATAAGTGGGAGCACTATATTTTTAACTTGAAGTTGGCTGCTTTGGGCATATGTATTTTGCCAAAAAGTATTAACGGAGATTTAAAGTTTGATTTTTCCTTTGGAAATTCGTCAAAATTGCTTTTATTTATTTTATTTATTTTGGCTTTTATTTAAATTTTGCTCCAAGTAGGCAGCTGCTACTGCAAGGCAGCAAGCAAGGTTGTATTTTAAATGTGAAAAAAGGTAATATTGAAAATAAAAATTTACTCTTAAAAACCGCACTGTCCACGTCTATTGGATATAAGCTGTTGAAACCTTTTCGATTGCAGCAAAATGCCAGTAATTGTGGTACTAAGAATTAACAAGGGGTCGCTGCTTGCGTGCATACATACAGCCATACATATGAGAGTGTACGTACTGTGTGTTTTTCAGTAGTTCAAAGTTCTTTACCTCCAAAAATAATAAACCCTATATACATATGTACATATGTATGTATAGTGTGTGCGTTTGACACGCATTGCCAACGGTTGTTCGCCTTGTCAAAGGCAAGGCAAGGCAAGGCAATTGGCCCCCTCACCTGCTCTATGGCCATTCACAACACCTAAACAATAACAACAGCAACATCAGTGATGCGCGATACGTGACACATCATACATACAGATGAAGTGGAAGCAATCGGTGATGGAATATAGAATATTATATTGTTTATATATACATATGTATGTATGTCGATGCAGATTTATCATAAGCTAATCTATATGTATGTATAACACGTTCAAACTAATCCGCTAGCATGTATGTATGTAAATTTGTGGATATACATATATGCTACATATAGCAACAATAAAGCATACAAATTAAGGTCTTGGTCAAGAACGACGGCAGACACAAAATAAAAAAAAAATGACGTTTCTATAGACAGATAGATAAACGATTAGCTTCCGCGCAGACGTAACGGCTTCCGTGCAATGTGGATATGTATTGTACATATGTAGAGATATATTTTTGCATACACTTGCATATGTATGTGCGCATCTAGACTCATTTGTTTTAAAACAAATTAAGATCTAACAAAGGAAAAATAAAAAAAATACAGTGTGTCTTGATAATTTTGAAACACTTTTTGTTTAACAGCCGCCGCCCGCTTTGATTATGAGCAATGAACCGGGAACGTAAGGAGACCTTACTGCGTACATGCATTTATACATATTATCATACTTATGCACATATGCACATATACACGTATATATATACATTTAAATAGGCAACGCAAAGGTCAAAAAAACATTGTTATCAAAATATTTATGACACACAAGTTAGTAAACTGTTATGAACATACACCGGCATACATCTATGTATGTATGTATGTATGATGTGATTATGTTTGAATATATATATATGTACTACATGTGCATTGGTCAATGGTTAATGCTTAATCACTTTTAAATTTTTATTTCACTTTATTACACCTTTTTCGGCTTAAACATTTCTATGTATGCATATACGTACATATACTCGTATATATACATATGTATATGCTTGTATTATCCACACACACATGTATATAAATATATACATATATCTTTTTTTAATTACGCCATAAACCCCTCTTTGACCAACCATTTGGCGCACAAAGCTAAATCCAATAAAGCCGAGTTTTCAAATATCACGTAATTCACGAAATGGGCCGAATGTGCCTATGAGTGTACACACTCCTATGTATACATAGTTATTGCACATACTGTACGATAAATATTAATAAATATATCTCATAGTAAATATCGCAAATACACTTTCAGTGAAGTTATAATATAAATGTAACAATGGCTCATTTGTTCACCAGCGATCCGGTTTTGGGCTGGCGAGTTTCCTCTTGCACAGTGTGGTAAATAGATTTCTTATGCTGTCCTCAATGTCGCAACTCACAACTTTTTATATTGTTTCTATCAATCCTACTTCGGAGCCTTACGTAATCCTATTGCGTACTACTATTCGGTAGGTCAGGGTTCGAATTCTGGTGCGACCAACATCCACAAATTAAAGAATATTATTTTTTCTGCTTGCCGTCGACCCTCGGTAGGGAATTTCAAGTACTCGGAATGTATCTCTTGCATGTTAGAGCTCCTCATAAAAGTCCTTCTCCACGAGACTGGACAAGCGTTGAGAAGGTTGCTATACTTTTTGTCTTTTCACGCCTTAGCAATTCATGAGAGTTCTTACACGACCAACATCTTTAGAAGTACCGAAACCTGCTGCAATTCCCGTGGAGGAGTCTACTGTATCAACCGAGTAACTTTTCTTGCATAAATGACATTTATTCTTCTTCGCTACGTGATTTCTGTCACTCATTCCTTCCCTTGGCTATTTGGGGCCAATTGGAAATACCGAGTGAAATTTGTTCACTCTCCACCTGATCTTTCTAACGGAGTGGCAGTCTTCCTCTTTCTCTGTTTTAACCAAAGGATACTGTATCAAGCCCTTTCAAAGCTGGAGTGCTTTCATCCATGCGGTCAGCTCATATTTCCATTGACTGTGGAATCCGCCGTTGCCGATGTGCAAAAACACCATAAGTCGGATGTCGACATCGTAGTAGGTCCTATCGACAAGCATTGGTGTCAGTACTGGTGCTTAGATGTATCAAACTATCTACGACCACGAAGTATTGATTGCCAAAAGCAACGTGGGAGCCGAATAGCGAATGATGACAGTAGATATTTTGTGTAGTACTCGTTCCCCACCAGACCAATTTGGTTTGCTCTTTATCAAGCCTTGAGAAAACAGAACCGATGGCGTGGTTATTAAGGCCTTACCACCTTATTATCGATGTAAATAAGCTCATCACTTCCCGACATAGACCAAATAATCTCTAACCAAAAAAAGTAAAGTGGGAAAGCAAACCCTCTGTGGCTTAAAACCCACGACATACAAAATTTGTCTTTAAATAAACAAATCAAACAATTTGCTTTCGATGAGAGACTCTCTTTTTGTTGATCACCTCTACAAAAGTTTAAAAGGTTCATCAGGGCTGAGAGCATGTACCTGATATGTCCGATCTCTTAATTGGGAAGATGTCACTGCCCAGCTGATTGTTGACCTCATAAGACTTAAGGCTGTAAGATGCACGAAATAAACACGGCAGAACATAGATCCTTGAGGAATCTACTAAACCTTAGTTTTGGATTTGTCCCGATCCTTAGCATTCATCTCAATCAATAAACAACTCGCACAAACCAAACCGCATAAATGTAAAGTTCGTGATCATAAAGCTGATTTGTGTCCACGCTTCGAGGAAAGAGGAGGACCAAATATGCCGACTTACAAAGTGCTTCAAATCTTACAACAGCTTTCGACGGCTCAAAAAGGAGCAGGCCCTACGCCGCAATGCATATACACTTTTGTATGAACATCAAAAGCTCCGTCAGGTTCTGATTCTAAATAACAAGAGGAGAAGCTCGGCCAGTAATCGTATGCTGAGAGTCTTAAAATCACTGCATTAGCAGGGATCCGTCGTTTATAAGTCGTCCGGCGGTATTTAAATTCAATCAAATCGCATTTCCTTGTCCTTGTCCAAAATCTTATCTAAAGCCTCTCCCAATATAATTTGGACTAATATTGAACCTTGCGGCCGCGGTAGCCGAGTGGTTAGCATTGAGTACTGACATTCGGAAGTCTCGGGTTCATATCCCAGTGCCACGAACATCAAAAAAAATTACCGAAAATTTATTTAAATAAAAATTAAGTTAACTTTCCTGATTCCGGTCGCCCCTCGGCAGGAAATGTCCATCCCTCTGACTGTATTTCTGATATGAAATAAAGGCTCCTCATAAGGAAACCATCAGGCGTTCAGAGGCGGCTTAGTATAAATTGTAGTCTCTCCATTTGATGGATAAACTTCAAGACGCAAAACCACAAATTGTAGGAGGAGATCGGTCGAACATCGCTTAAGCGGTTACAAAGCGCAAATTATATATTTAGAACCTTTAAATTCCAGATTTGTTCATTGCAAACATTTATCTATGCGCATAGATTAAAAAATACATCTCCATTTATACATGTCTTCAACTTTTATTTCTCTCAGATGCGCACCACAGCCGCTTTCCGCAAAGATAACGCCGCCCTTGTCCATGGCCTAGTCATCGAACAACTCAAGGACATATTCATCGAATATGGAATTGTAAATGTACTGAAGAATTGCGATCAACATGGACGACGCGTAATGATTGTGAACTGTGGTGAATTGTGGGATCCCAGTGTGGTCCCATCCGATGATGTTTTCCGCATGTTGTATATGGTACATATTGCTGCCCAACTGGAACCGGAATCACAAATACGCGGTGTTGTTTGTATTATGGACTTTGACGGCTTGTCAATGAAGCAGGTGAAAGCTTTGTCGCCGAGCTTCTCGAAGCGTCTACTCACTTTCATACAGGATGCGATGCCCTTGCGCATGAAGGAGGTGCATTTTGTGAAACAACCTTTCATTTTCAAAATGGTTTGGGCTCTCTTCAAGCCATTCGTACGTGAGAAGTTGAACAAGAGGGTGAGTAAGAATGGGTGAAACAAATCTTATACAAGAGATTATTTATTATTACTATTTTATATTAATATTGTGTTGGTCTCTTGCATTAGCGGGTCTTTTTACTTCCCTGCCTTCACGCTAAGATCGTAGTCTTTTTCTGGGTTTGGTGTCCATTGTATTTAAACTGCGGAAGTTGAGTAGCTCTTTAGGTGTTGTGTGCTGCTGTGTAAAACTCACTTTCAACACAGATATTTGGTGTCTGTGTGGTATTGTTAGGTGGTGGTCGACACGTACAGTAGGACAGATATGGCATTTTCCGGCCAGACACGCTCCGACAGATAGTGTGGGCACCAGGAACTCCTACTGCTACTTGCCTCCAAGCGGAGATTAAAGCTGAATGTGAGTTCGAGATGATGAGACGCGAAACAGTAGTAATGCCACGTGACGTGTTATACACTCCCTAAATGTCTTAAGGCTTAATCAGAATTTAAGATGACTTCAAACATGAGTTGTCATAACGGAGTCGGCCTTAATGGCAGCCTGGATCAAACTTGTTGTTGTTGCACTGTTGATGTATGCACATATAAAAGCTTTGCCTGTTGACCTGAACGGATTTAAGCTACGTGCATTCTGTAGCCCTATAATGTAAGGGGGTATAGCATTCCGGTTCGGCGACGCCAGGCTTGAGGTATTTAAAGCATATTTAGTTTCCTCCTGTTGCATGTTGCCCAGTAAGATACCCTAGTGATGTAATAGATACGCTACTCAGAAGCGAGACCGATTGGTTTTGGGCGAATTTAAGGCATTTTTGCTTGTCAAATGATCGTATAGGAATGGAGCTGGCAGAAAAGATAAACAATTTGACATTCTGCGTCATGAACGACCCTCAGACATTGTTCACCAGATCACCGAACCTATGTCAATTTTAATAAAGATTATTTCGACTTCACTGAATTTACAGAGTACACCTTCAGTGTCCTCCTCGCTCCAACCGACGCCTATGCTGCTTCATCACGACATGCCAAATATCGGAAAGCCGCGCACACTTTCCAACTGAAGCGGCGGATCTAGAATCAAGGCGTGAGCACCTACACCATGGCGATCTCTCAAACGGTGCAAAAGTGTGAAGATAAGCTCTCAAGCGCTGCAACTTCTCTGCTGTTTTAACCGACTTTTTACATTGCGTCCTTCGGTTGATTAAATTAAGCGACAAGAAAATCACCACCCATAGCAGACGTAGAGCTACCTAGAGAGATCCGCGTAATACTGGCGCAAATCTGGTCTGGATATTGTAGCAGATTAAGCTCCTACCTAACCAAACTCAACCCCAACTACCCAAAGTATGCCATGCATGCAACGAGTCCCCGCACGACACTAACCACCTCTTTACATGCCTCTTGAAACCGACACATCTAATAGCTCTTTCCGTCTGGTCCGAGCCCATCGAAACAAATCGTTTCTCCGATTTTCCGTTAGATGACCTCGCTCACTTAGACTAACTAGCCTGTCTCTAAACGGGGTTGGAACAACCGCTACAACAACAACACAAGTAATTCGCTGCCAAACACCACAATCTCATTTCTCCAGGCAGGCGATGGCAAAAAATATCCAAATTCATGTATCCAACCGGAATAAGCATGCCGATGCTAAGACGTTGTAGTCCATCGCGCACAGAATTTCCCACCATAATCTTTAGTTTAGGACCACTCTAACAATACCCGTCATATGAGAGCAGAGTGACGTGGGTATCACTACTAAAATCGGGAAAACAAGCCAACAAAGGAGAATCATATCGTCCGATATTTCCTGCTCCCCTTCTACTCTCACTACCTAAGCCCAGCAGCGCATGAGCATGGCTTCCGAAAAGTGCAGAGCGCAACAACTGCACTTAACAAGATAAAAACCCAAACCAAGTCCATAACCAAAATCGAAATTGCGCGCGAGCTGAACGCCTGTCGTAAGAGGCGACTAAAATCCAATAGTTCCCGAGGCAATCGGGTCTTTATACCGGAACGAACTGGATTTATATCCGGCCAAGGACTGTCACTCCCGCAACATTCTCCGAAAAGTACTTTGGGGAATATTTCTGCGGTATTAACAACAACAACAACAGTAGGAGTGAATCTATCAAAAGCCTTTGGTACTCCAATCGGACAATAACCACCTCCTTGCATGCCAAATAAAACCTACTTATCTAACTCCTCACTCCATTGGGGCGGAAACCGTCGAAACAGGCTCATTTCCTGAACCACTACAACAACAACAACAACAACAACAACAGCGGCCCCAGCTAGTTCTTGTATTACAATTGGAGAGACAAATTATTAGGCGCTCTAAATTTTGTTGTTATTATCTCGTAGAAATGAAATAGAGAAAGCCCGTAGCGAAACTGATCATTTGCATACCTTTAGGCGCTAACCTTATTACATACACGTATTTACATTAATATAATTTTTGTAAAAATTCTAAAATTGAAAATCCTTTTCTCTACTTTACACAGATGCATTTCCACGGCAGCGACATGAAGTCTCTGCAGAAATTCCTCTCACCCGAAATCCTGCCCGAAAACTACAAAGGCACATTGCCGAAAATCGACTACGGTGGCGCCGATTGGTTCCCAGCGATAGAGAAGCATGCTGATTTCGTGAGAGAATGGTCCGAATTAGGGCCAGCGAAATGGTAAACTCCCAAGTGAAACGAGTCACTAACAACTACAGCAAAAAAAAAAGAGAATAATTATAAATATTAGATTGCTGCTACCAAAGGCTGTACATTCCTACACTGTCTCGCGTTCTTTCTTTTCTTAAAAAAAAAAAAATAAAAAAATAAAAAAAAACGAAAACATTTGCTTGAAGAACAAAACCAAACATACAAAGTTATGAAACAAAACACGGCACATTTTTATCTTTCTCTTCACTTAGTTCGTAAGCATTTTTCCATATCATTTTCAATATTCCTCTCGCTATATATGTATGTATATATAGTTTTAGTGTAAATACAATAAATAAATAAAAGTGTTGAAAATAATTTTCTTTTCATTCATTTTCATTTCTCTACTTTTCCTTCATTTTTATTCATTTCGCTCTACAATTTATATTTATTTAATTAAATTACAACAACAATGCTAGGTGCCCAGTGCCAAGTATGTATGTATGTATGTATGCAAGTATGCGAGCGTAACTGTCACTGCTTTTTAATGAACAAAACAGATAAATAAAATAAAATAAGGAACAGGTTTTCTTTTTCTAAATTACAAAATGAATTTTTGCCATAATAATGCATCTTTCTATTACATAAGTTACCCTGCGCGCACCTTTTGCAATTCCTTCATGGACCGGCGGCTGGCGTATTATTTTCGCTTTCAATATTTATGCTATAAATATATTTGTATCCATGTACGCAGGTACATATGTATGTATCATGTCGCCTTACCATTGACAAATGATTTTAGTTTTTTTTTTTGGTTTTTTGTTCTATTTTAAATGTTTTTAACATCATGTTTTGGCGCTTACGCATATGTATGTAAAGTTGAGAAATGAAAAGGTGCTATAATGGCTCATTTATTTTTTTTTACGGCAGTTTACTTTGCTCTATTTTCAATATCATTCATTTCAATGTGTTTAGACAAGTCTAAAAATTTTTACAAATTATTTCATTCATTTTTTTTTAAATTAAATAATTTGTCTTTCTAATTTAATTAGTAAAACAAAGAGCAAAAAATAATCAAACTAAATTTAATCAATCAATCACATATTAAGCTGATCCAAGACCAATTAAGTAATACATAATATAAAAAATATATATGTATATGTATATGTATGTATGTAAGCAAACAAGAAATTAACTCCACATAATCGCATATATTTTATATACAAAGGGTTTTCTATTGGTATTGGTATTGGTGGTCAAATTCTCACGCTGCGTTTTCAGGCGCCGAACTGATTGTGATGGTGTGCGGCGCTTGTACATATATGTATGTATGTATTGTATGTATGTTGTCATTCTTCTTCTGCCTTTCCTTCTGCATTATGCTTAACTGAATGTAGTTTTGTATATAATTATCATATGAAGGTATTTTTCTAGAGTTGCTTAACTTAAAGAATCATTGTCTGTGGATCCTCTATGAAATCGCGGAAGTATTGCAACCATTTAGCAGCAACAGCGCCGTCAACAGTTCTATGATCTGCACTGAGTGTAACGTTCATAACGCTGACTTCCTTGAAACTGTAAAAAAAAAAGAAATTATAAATTTTTTCAAAAATATATATGTGCATACATATATTAGAATAAATTCATTTTATATAATAAAATATGTATGTATTAAAAAGCCATTTTACACATTACCCTTTGAGGCTATCGGGATCGAGCACAAGTTTCTTTGTGGTGGCGCCAATTGCCAAAATGCAGGATTGTGGCGGATTTATGACGGCGCAGAATTGTGAAACGCCTGAAAGAGTTGCAAAATTAATACAAGCCTTTGGTGTATTCATCACAAACAACAAAAGTGAAAAACAAAAAACGCACCCATCATTCCCAGGTTGGATACGCAAACGGTGCCACCTTGGAATTCTTGAGGTTTCAACTTATTTTCTCTGGCCTTGGCAGCTAATGATTTCGTTTCTTTGGAAATATCAATTACACCTTTACGATCAGCTCCAAAGACAATTGGCGTGATGAGGCCAGTGTCAGTGGAAACTGCCATCGAAACATCAACATTATCGAATCTAGAAAAAAAAAGTAGTAAAAGAAAAATGTAGTACAAAAATGTAGTAAAAAATTTTTTTATAAAAATGTAGTAAAAAAATTTTTTAGAAAAATGTAGTAAAAAAAATTTTATTAAAAATCTAGTAAAAAAATTTTTATTGAAAATGTAGTAAAAAAAATTTTATTAAATGTACTAACAAAAAAAACGTAAAAAATATAGCAAAAAAAAATGTAGTAAAAATAATGCAGTAAAAAAAAATCAATGTAAAAAAATGTAGTAGAAAAACAATGTAATAAAAAAATGTAATTAAAAAGGTAGTAAAAAAAGTACTAAAAAAAAATGTAGTAGAAAAACAATGTAATAAAAAATGTAGGTAAAAAAGTACTAAAAAATGTTGTAGAAAAACAATTTAATAAAACAATATGTAGTAAAAAAAAAATAAAAAAAAAAATATATTTAAAAATTTACTGCAAGCTTTCTTTCCTATAAAAATAACACGTTTAATCAATGCAATAAAAAATTTTACCTTGAAACTTAAAATGAATACAATTAACAACTGCACGCCTATACTGCTACTGCTACTTACTGTCTTATCACGCTTTCCATCCAATATGAATTGGATTCTGGTACCTTGCGGCATGCTGTGGCCACGGCTTTAATAATGAAGTCGTTGACTGACACGCGTACACCCTGCTTTTCGTACTTCTTATTTACCTTTTCACGCAGTTTTTGTAGCTGAAAAAAGATTACACACAGAAAATCGTTATGTAAGAATTAAAACAAATTATCGCACATCAACAAACCTTATCCATGTTGCACTCCATGGTGACATAGTAGTGAGGTATTTGCTGTTTCGACTCCTTCAAACGTTTCGCAATTACGCCGCGTACATTTGAGACGGGTATATCAATGTAGCCTCCCTGTGGTGCAGCAACACCCGCTGCTGGTGCGCCGACCGCTGGTGCGGCCGCTGATAAGCCTGCAAGATCACTAGATTTAATTGAGCCATAGATGCCACTGCCTTTACCTGCATGCGGTAATAACAAAAAACAAAAATGAAGCGAATTAGTATGCTTTCCAAATGTGTATTAGATTTCAACAAAGGGATATTTTGAACGAAACCTTGCAATCGCAGACTTTGTGCTTCGGCCAATCGCTTAGCCATAGGGCTGGCATAAACACGTTCACCGCGTTGTTCAACGGCGGTCATAGGCTTACCACCGGCAGGTGCAGCCGCCACGGGTGCTGGTGGTGGTGGTGGTGGAGCTGAAACAGCAGCAGCTGGTGGGGGAGCAGGAGCAGCAGCAGCTGGTGGTGGTGGTGCCGCGGCAGCTGGTTTGGCAGCAGCAGGTGCATCGTCAACAAAGTCCTTGAATGCTGCTACATCAGCTTCTTCCTGTACAATAATGCACACTAGTTTACCAATGGCGACATCCTTAGTACCGGCTGGTATGACAATTTTCGCCAAATAACCTTCCTCAGGTGTTTCAAAACCCATTGTAGCCTTGTCAGTTTCGATTTCGGCCAAAAGATCACCTGAAATAGTAGATGATGCATATAAGCATTTAAGCATATATTAAGCTAAACGTATGCCACAGCCTTACCCTCGTTCAATTTGTCACCCTCCTTTTTCTCCCAACTGATGATGGTACCCTGGTCCATGGTGGGTGATAATGCCGGCAATGGCACTTTGATGTGCGATGGCAGGTCGGCATAGTTACGAGCGAAGTTTGTACTCCACATGCCCAATGGCTTTGGGACGGTTGCCACATGAGATTTGGGCACGAATCTGCAAGTAAGAAGTTATTAATTATCTATAAAAAAAACACGATTTTAGTAAACAATTGGATATACATACGCTTTAAATTTTCGACTGTCATTTTAGTATATGTATATATAAGTAAAGTATGAGGATACGTAACCTACGCACTATGGAAAATATCAAATATATAATGCCTAATCTTGTTAGATTTCATCGGCGGAGGTGTATGGCACTCCATATTTAACCCCTTGTTTCTAAACAAATTCATAAAGCCATTAATTATGCTTTCATAACTAAGTTTGTATGTAAGTACCAGCGTGCAAATGTATGCTTGCTTGTGGAAAGAAACCTAATGAGCGTTATCAATAGTCTGCAGTAGTGACGCCATCAATTAGTACCAAAAAACGACCTAGTATCCGCAACGCACCTCACCACTTGGCCGCAAGCTTTTCAAATCGGTTTAGTTATGCTTCATAACAATAATGAAATTCCAAAATAAATATTTTTACATTTCATTTACGCTAATGACATTTTATTTTTGTAATTTCTTCTAATTTGTTTCGCCTATTTGCAAACAGCACAAATCAGTCGACGTTACACAATCAACTTTCTAACCTTAAAACGTCATCGGAGCACCCATCAACCCAAATCGCTACCAACTGATATGACCATTTAAACGCACCTGAGTGTCTGCAAATTCCTTGCGACTTGTGCGCCCATTACACGGATGGCTTCACGTGCTGGTCTGGCGCGTGCCAGCGCTGTTCCACGCAATAGCACGAGTTCGTTGCGTGCTGCAATTGTCCTCAGCATCTTGACACACTCTATAAATTACACACGAAAACAAATATTTTCGATCAACTAAGGATCTTTTCAAATGATAGGAAACGTTATTAAGGTTTCTCTAAAGCGTTTCGATTTGTGTGCAAAAAACTGTCTGCTCTATTAAAAACTCGACAGTTTTTCGTTCGAAATTAATTTAGTAATAATCGCCCGACACACACCGACCTTTTTTTTTGGAAGGTTACATACACACCGCAAATCGAATCGAACTGACTTCTCTGCTGACTTTTAAGTAGAAAAGTAGAAACGTCAAATTAAAAAAAATTATCGGTGTTTAAAGCAGAGTTGCCAATGCTTCTAATTTCGCGTGATAATTTGTTAATGCTGTTATCAGTTGTAACGGTACGAGATTTTTTACGTACATATGTTTGTGTAAATGTGTTGTATCACATTATTTCATATATTTCTAAAAATTAATTCGGGCGTCATTTTAGGAATAACTAACTCGATATCCATTGTGATATGTTCAATCATAAAGAAACAATAAAAAATAATAATTAGTCATCATTAGAGATACCAAAGAATAATTCGAGACAAAAATCAGTAGTGAAGCAATAAGCTAAGTTAATCTGTGCTTATCTCTGAAAACACGCGTTAAGTGCGAAGGTATGCGAACCCATTTAAATTAATACGTTATCAACGTATTTTATACACACTATGTGCGTGCAACGAAGCTAAAAAGATTTTATAATAAAATCCACGCGACAAATGACTTTCAAAAGTTTTTGATTCAGATAAGGTAAGGAACTGGAACATTATCAAAAAATTTAGAAAATCTAACACTCATTCGGTTCGCATGCCAAGCTAGACGTGGTAATAAATACTACAAGAAACAAAGCCGAATATCACCAATAATTATTAAATCTGTATTTAAATTTTAACTAAAACTAAGGCAATTTTCGACATAAATTAGTTAAGAACAATAAAATTAAATCCTTTTTGTAAGATTAGTGAAAATTTGAGTTTCGTTGTAGTTGGGCCGGGGTTGTGGTAGAGATTCTGCTTGAGGATGTGGTTTCAGCTTTTCCCCACTTGAAAAGTTACCACTTTGCTTAGATACCACAGGTACAAGATTTTCAGCCGAACGTGTTCTGAAATATAAAAAATTTGATGAAACTCTCATTTCCATTACAAAGTAATTAATAGAGAGCTTACACTGTCTTTAAAACAGCCAATTTGGGTATGTTTTTCGTGAATTGCTTTTCTCCGGAAGCCTCCTGTGCAGCTAACTCTTCCGGATGTGACTTCTTTTTGTGTGTACGACAATTGGCACCGTTAGCGAAGGTCCTGTCGCAAAAGTCACAAGAATAAGGCCTTAAGCCACTATGCAGTATTAAGTGCGCTTTTAATGTTTTAGCACGTTTAAATTCCCGCCCACAGTAGTCGCACTTATGACTCATTACATCCGAATGTACAAGCATATGACGATTTAGTGTTACTCGAGAATTTAATTGTAAGCCACATTCGCCGCACGTGTGTTTATTGTTACTGTGTATCTCCATGTGATTCTGGATTTTCAAAAAAAAAAAAAAATATATATATATATATGTTGCTATATATTGCTATACATTATTATACATTAAAAATATTAAATTACCCGCAGACGTGATTGATTTTTGAAGCCTTTCTCACACACTTCACAGATAAAGGGTGCATTGTTGGTATGTGTGAGCATATGCTCTCGCAAGGCAGCTTCCGTACATGCACCTTCACCACATTCTTCACAAATGAAGGGACGTATATTCTCGTGGACATATTTTATATGTCTAGCAACGTAATCTTTCGTTTGGAATTTTCTTTCACATTGCGGGCATGGAAATATTCGCTTCTCCGCCATCGGACGATGAGTTCTAATGTGACGATTTAATTCAAAACTGCGTTTGAAAGTTCTACTACATTGTGGACATGAAATAGGTGGGTCATCTGTTTTAACAATGCCATGAGATTTCTTCATATGGATGTGATAATTACCGATCCGAAGAAAATTCATCGAACACACGCTGCAGTTGTATTTAGACTTCCTAGTTGTTTGCTTCGCTCTGTTTATGATTTTTTTCTTTTGATGCTTTGGTGCACATGAAGGGTGATGTGACCTTATATGACGATTTAAGTGAGACGTGTTTTTGAAATTTTTATTACATTGCTGACATATAAAGAGACCTTTTTCCTGATGCTTCTGTTTCCTGTCGTAATTAACACTGTGTAAAAAATATATTGAATAGTCTCTACAAAAACATTTGTCTTACTTTTTATCGCTTTCGGCCTTTTCGCTTTTTACATCCTTACATACTTTACCAGAATTAATACTATCCGCTTCACCAGATTGTTTTTCCATCACATCACCGAACGGATCCTGGAATTCACTTTTGTATTCGACATTTTCAAAAAATGTACCACTTTGCACTTCGTCTGTTAATACTTCATTCTTTATCATGTGCTCCGTTATTTCGACGACGTCGGGCATGAAAATATTTTCGTTTGTCAATTTTATATCTGATAAACTAAAAATAAATAGATCATCATCCAGCAAGTTATATTTTTCACGGAATGCTCTCAGGTTAAGATTTTTTCGATTAGTAGCCTTCTGAATTTCGTTATACATGTTGTGCACTTTTTTCACTTGGATTGTGTATTTGGAAAGCAATGTAATTAATGAGAAGCACTGTGCACAAAGCCAGTGTGGTAGTTTAGCATCTTCCTCAATCTAAAAATATTTAAAGAAATGTGGTAAGTACATAATTGAGCGAGTTAAGTAAGATTACTTGAATTTTAAAAAATTCCGCTATGAAATCCATCAAAGAGCTCGAAGAAGTTATGGCTTGTGTTCGATTCCCCTCTGGGAGTATGTTGATATTTCGTACATCATCTTTGGAACACAGTCGGCACCAAAATTGCCACTCAGCGTCGGCAATGTCGCCTTTGCACTCCATAATGGAGCTCGACATCATAAACAAATTCGCCACTTAGCCACTTGAAAATATTAATTTATTATGAATTTATTCGTATAGCTTTTGGGATGGTGATGTACGTTTTGTAGGTATATTTTCGATTAATGTCGATTAGTAATTAACTATTTTGTAACAAATACCCATTTTGATTCTGGTGTTTATGTACTTAGTACATTTGTAACGAACTTCTTTAATTAACCGTGATGATATCCAAATTCTTTCAAGTTCGGTGAATGGATTGTTAAATAAAAGTCCCCGAATTTGTTTTTCAGTTTTTTTATATTATAAACGAATAATTTTCTCTATCTCTTATTAACACACAGTTGACCAATAATACAACATTATAAAAAACTATAATTTTTTTGCGACACTGGTTTTTTGGAGAGTTACACACATACCGTAAATCGAATCTTATTGACTTTGAAGTCGAAACGTCTTATTAGTAAAATTATCAGTGTTTGAAGCAATTACCTTCCTGGCTTATAAACTCGAAAAATAATTTGCATACGCTGTTATCAGATGTAGCGGAAATAGTTTTTCAAATTATATGTTTAGATGCGTTGAACATCTTTCTTTTATATATTTATATTATCCACGAACTCTTTTAGAAAAATATAGACCACGGTCTATGATTTATGTTACGAAAATATAACGGAAGTTAATTCAATATCCATTCTTATATGTGTCTATCACAAAGAAATCTTTTAAGAAACCTATTGCAATAAAAAATAATAAGCAAATAATCAAGAAAAGCTTATACACATTCGTTCCTCACCAATATTGTTTCTTTAAATATGTATTTAAATTTTAACTAAAACTAAGACATTTTACAACATAAATCACTTAAGAGCAACAGATTACGTAATTTTTTGTAAATAATTTAGTGAAAAACTGAGTTTTGTTGTTGTTGAGCCTGAGGTTGTGGTTGAAGTTCTGCTTTAAGACGTGGTTTCGGCTTTTCTCCACTTGAAAAGTTACCACTTTGCTTAGATACCACAGGTACGAGATTTTCAGCCGAACGTGTTCTGAAATATAAAAAAGTTAGATATAACTCTCATTTCCATTACAAATTAATTAATAGAGAGCTTACACTGTCTTTAAAACAGCCAATTTGGGTATGTTTTTCGTGAATTGCTTTTCTCCGGAAGCCTCCTGTGCAGCTAACTCTTCCGGATGTGACTTCTTTTTGTGTGTACGACAATTGGCACCGTTAGCGAAGGTCCTGTCGCAAAAGTCACAAGAATAAGGCCTTAAGCCACTATGCAGTATTAAGTGCGCTTTTAATGTTTTAGCACGTTTAAATTCCCGCCCACAGTAGTCGCACTTATGACTCATTACATCTGAATGTACAAGCATATGACGATTTAGTGTTACTCGAGAATTTAATTGTAAGCCACATTCGCTGCAGATGTGTTTATTGCTACTATGTATCTCCATGTGATTCTGAATTTAAAAAAAAAAATATATATATATATGTATATATCTATTGATATGCATTAAAAATATTAAATTACCCTCAGACGTGATTGATTTTTGAAGCCTTTCTCACATACTTCACATATAAAGGGTGTATCGTTGGTGTGTGTGAGCATATGCTCTCGCAAGGCAGCTTCTGTACATGCACCTTCACCACATTCTTCGCAAATGAAGGGACGTATGTTCTCATGTATAAATTTTATATGTCTAGCAACGTAATCTTTCGTTTGGAATTTTCGTTCACATTGCGGACATGGAAATATTCGCTTCTCCGCCATCGGACGGTGAGTTCTCATGTGACTATTTAGTTTAAAAGTAGTTTTGAATGTTCTCCCACATTGTGGACATGTAAGATGTGGCTCCGTTTTAACAACGCCATGAGTTTTTTTCATATGTACGTGATAATTACTGCTACGTTGAAAATGCATCGAGCAATCGCTGCAAGTGTAATTAGACTCCTTTGTTGCTTCCTCGGTGCTGCTTGATGTTTTATTCTTCTGAGCCGCATTTGGAGGACGATGTGATCTCATGTGACGATTCAAATAACATGCGTATTTGAAGGTTTTACTACAACGTGGACAAGTAAAGAGACCTTTTCCATGCTTTTGCTTCATATGCCTGTGATAATTGAGACTGTGTGAAAAATAAATTGAACAGTCTTTACAAAAATATTTATCTTCCTTTATACCGCTATTGGTTTTTTCAAATTGTTTTTCATTATTTGTTTCTAAATCCCTGCTAACTTTATTAGAATTATTATAATCGACTTCACAACATTGATTCTCCACCACATCACCAAAAGGATCCTGGAATTCACTTTTGTACTCGACATTTTCGAAAAATGTACCAGTTTGCACTTCGTCTGTTAATACTTCATTCTTTATCATGTTCTCCGTTATTTCGACTACATCGGGTATGAAAATATTTTCGTTTGTCAATTTTGTATCTGATAAACTAAAAATAAATAGATCATCATCCAGCAAGTTATATTTTTCACGGAATTCTCTTAGATTAAGACTTTTTCGATCAGTAAACTTTTGAATTTCGTTGTACATGTTCTGGACTTTCTTCACTTGTATTGTGTATTTGGAAAGAGCTGTAAGCAAAGAGAAGCACTGTGGACAAAGCCAGTGTGGTAGTTCAGCATCTTGTTCAATCTGAAAAGATTTTAAAGATAGTGCTAAGTATATGTATAACTCTGGGCAGATTAAGTAGTTACTTGAATTTTAAAAAATTCTGTAATGAAGTCCATAAGAGAGTTTGGAGAATTTGTGGCCGTTGTTTGATTCACCTCTGGTAGTATGTTGATATTTCGTACATCATCTTTGGAACACAATCGGCACCAAAATTGCCACTCAGCGTCAGCAATGTCACCTTTGCACTCCATAATGGAACTCGACATCACAAACAAATCCGTTACTTAGCCAGCTTGAAAGCTATATCGCTCTCCCCAATTAAAAATATTAATTTATCATAAATTTATTTGTATGGATTTTAGGAAACTAGCGATGGTAAATTTTCGATTAAAGTCGATTAGTGATTAACTATTTTGTAACAAATACCCATTTTGATTCTGGTGTTTATGTACTTAGTACATTTGTAACGAACTTCTTTAATTAACCGCTTTGATATCCGAACACTTTCAAGTTCGGTGAATGGATTGTTAAATATAAGTCCCCGAATTTGTTTTTCAGTTTTTTTATATTATAAACGAATAATTTACTCTATCTCTTAATAACACACAGTTTACCAATAATACAACATAATAAAAAAGTACAATTATCTGCGACACTCGTTTTATGGAGAGTTACACACATATCGTAAATCGAATCTTATTGACTTTGAAGTCGAAACGTCTTATTAGTAAAATTATCAGTGTTTGAAGCAGTTACCTTCCTGGCTTATAAACTCGTAAAATAATTTGCATACGCTGTTATCAGATGTAGCGGAAATAGTTTTTCAAATTTTATGTTTAGATGCGTTGAACATCTTTCTTTTATGTATTTATATTATCCACGAACTCTTTTAGAAAAATATAGACCACGGCCTATGATTTATGTTACGAAAATATAACGGAAGTTAATTCAATATCCATTCTTTAAGAAACCTATTGCAATAAAAAATAATAAGCAAATAATCAAGAAAAGCTTATACACATTCGTTCCTCACCAATATTGTTTCTTTAAATATGTATTTAAATTTTAACTAAAACTAAGGCAATTTACAACATAAATCACTTAACAGCAACAAAATTACATTATTTTTGTAAATAGTTTAGTGAAAATTTGAGTTTTGTTGTTGTTCAGCCTGGGGATGTGGTTGAGATTCTTCTTGGGGATGTGATTTCGGTTTTTCGCCAAATGAGAAGTTACCACTTTGATTACATACCACAGGCAGGAGATTTTCAGCCGAGCTTGTTCTGAAACATACGAAATTAGATATAACTCTCATTTCCATTATAAATTAATTAACTGAGAGCTTACACTGTCTTTAAAACAACCAATTTAGGTATATTTTTTGTAAATTGCTTTCCTCCGAAAGCCTCTTGAGCAGCTAGTTCCTCCGGATGTGACTTTCTCTTGTGTGTACGGCAATTGGAACCATTAGCAAAAGTTCTGTCACAAAAGTCACAAGAATAAGGCTTTAAGCCACTATGTAGTATTAAATGCGCTTTAAGAGTCTTAGCACGTTTAAATGCACGCCCACAGTATTCGCACTTATGCCGCAGTACATCAGAATGTACAAGCATATGCCGATTTAGTGTTACTCGAGAATTTAATTGTAACCCACATTCGCCGCACGTGTGTTTATTGCTACTGTGTATCTCCATGTGATTCTGATTTTCGAAGTTGTTTTGTTATAAATTATTATTTATTGTATGTGTATATGTACTAGATGAAAAATATTAAATTACCTTCAGTCGTGATTTACTTTTGAAGCCTTTCTCACACACTTCGCATATAAAGGGTGTATTGTTGGTGTGTGTGAGCATATGTTCTCGTAAAGCAGGTTCTGTACGTACACTTTCGCCACATTCTTCGCAAATGAAGGGACGTATGTCCTCGTGTACATATTTTATATGTTTAGCAACGTATTCTTTCGTTTGGAATTTTCGGTCACATTGTGGACACGGAAATATTTGCCTCTCTGCTAGCGGACGATGAGTTTCAATGTGACGATTTAATTCAAAACTGCCTTTGAAAGTTCTACCACATTGTGGACATGAAATAGGTGGGTCATCTGTTTTAACAATGCCATGAGATTTCTTCATATGGATGTGATAATTACTGATCCGTAAAAAATCCATTGAACACACGCTGCAGTTGTAGTTAAACTTTTTAGTTGTTTGCTCCGCTCTGTTTATGATTTTTTTCTTTTGATGCTTTGGTGCACATGGAGGGTGATGTGACCTTATATGACGATTTAAGTGAGACGTGTTTTTGAATTTTTTATTACATTGCTGACATATAAAGATATCTTTTTCCTGATGTTTCTGTTTCCTGTCGTAATTAACACTGTGTAAAAAATATATTGAATAGTCTCTACAAAAACATTTCTCTTACTTCTTATTGCTTTTGGCATTTGCGCTTTCTAAATCCTTATCTACTTTACTAGAATTAATACTATCCGCTTCACCAGATTGATTTTCCATCACATCACCAAACGGATCCTGGAACTCACTTTTGTATTCGACATTTTCAAAAAATGTACCACTTTGCACTTCGTCTGTTAATACTTCATTCTTTATCATGTGCTCCGTTATTTCGACTACGTCGGGCATGAAAATATTTTCGTTTGTCAATTTTGTATCTGATAAACTAAAAATAAATAGATCATCATCCAGCAAGTTATATTTTTCACGAAATTCTCTTAGATTAAGACTTTTTCGATCAGTAGACTTTTGAATTTCGTTGTACATGTTCTGGACGTTCTTCACTTGATTTGTGTATTTGGAAAGAGCTGTAACCAAAGAGAAGCACTGTGCACAAAGCCAGTGTGGTAGTTCAGCATCTTGTTCAATCTGAAAAGATTTTAAAGATAGTGCTAAATATATGTATAACTCTGGGCAGATTAAGTAGTTACCTGAATTTTAAAAAACTCTGCTATGAAATCCAAAAGAGAGCTTGAAGGATCTGTGGCTGGTGTTTGACTTCCTTCTGGTAGTATGTTGATATTTCGTACATCATCTTTAGAACATAGTCGACACCAAAATTGCCACTCAGCGTCAGCAATCTCGCCTTTGCACTCTACCAGGGAATTCGACATCTTTTTAAACAGGGATTATTCAGTGTTCATACAGCTAGGTTGTTCCTCTGAAGCGATGCTAACGAAGTTATATCAATGAAATCGTTTTGATTATAATTGATGACTATTTTCGAATGGAAATTTTTTAAGTTGATTTTAATTAGCTTTTCAATGATTCCTCCATGGATATGTGTTCTTCGATGTTTTAAGATATTCAATTATTGATTGATGACAGCTTGGTGATATGGATTGAAGTTCCGGGTGCTGTTGCGAACAAAGTGTTGTTGGTTATTATTGTAATTTTATACAATTAACACAGAACATTTATTTGTTTAAAAAAAAAAAGAAATTTAACAATCTAAAAATTTCGAAAAAAAAAAAATTATTGTGGATAATAAGATGTTGAAGATGATTCGAACATTTGTGAGATGTTTTTATAAAAGTATTTTTTAATCTGCACAAGGGTGTTAAAAGTGAAAAGTTAATGTATGTATGCATAGCATAACTTAGCTATGAGAGGACCTTAGCCGAAGGACTTTCGTCTGGCTCCAAGCTAATAAGTGAACTGCTGCATTGTCTCTAAGCTTTCGCAATTGTTTTGTAGTTAGTCGGGTTGCTAAATCAAAATCAATATCAGATTATTTGCTCTTTAACGCCTAGAAGTACTCGTCGTCCACATCTAGCCGAAGCTATTTTTCCTTATAGTTTTATATTTTTTCCCAGTGCGGGGTTGAATCCTTGTCTTTGACCGAATGGTCTGTTTTGCCATATAAAATACATGGACATTACCCTCAAACCATATTGTAAATAGTTTATCACATCCATTGTCTGCAACGGACGCATACGATCGAGTCACTTTTATCTGTTTATTTTTCTGGATGTTGTAACAGCAAAATATTCCCCTAATGTGTTTTTGGGAAATATTGTGCAAGAGACCCTTTTGCCGCCTCCTACCACAGTTAAATTCTCGAGCCCCTAGCCCACTGGTGAATCTATTTAATCTTCCTAATTATCAGTAATTTATTGCCGTACAAGAAGCCGTTTCAGTCAAAATTACTCGTGCTTTTCAAGACCAATCCCAGTTAACATCGTTTTAGCAGACACTAATAGACTCGTACAAAGCACTCGCCCTGTTTGACCAGATCGGAGTGTTCTCCAAACTTTAAGGCTCTTTATGTGACAACAATAATACACAATTTATTTATATTTTGGTATGAAATTGGTTTGACGTTACTTGGCCAGCTTGGAAGCTGTCTTGCTATAACGTTATCGTCAATAAAAAATATTGATATATAATAAATTTATTTGTATGACTTTTAAGAGACTAGTGATGATGTTTTACATGTTGTAGATATGTTTTCGATGAAAATCGATTAGTGATGAACTACTTTGTAAGGGCGGGAATTTGCAAAGAACGTATATTAACTATTTCACCTTTATACGATATTAGTAAGAGACTAATTCACCACTAGTTAACAGCCAACTACCAGGGGCTGACAAATCATTTACAGAAGAGAGATATTTGGGAGACAATTATTTTAATAATTTGTGATTATCTTGCTTTAGAAATGTTGACAGAGTGGTGAAATAGTCTCTTATATCTTTCCTCGGTTCTGGTAGTTCACACGTTATTTGACGTTCTCTGGTATTTGTTTCTGGTGCCTATATATAGGTGCATTGGTAATGATTTTTCTTGTCTTAGTTAACCTCGATAACTTTCCAAATCCTTTGAGTTCGATCATAGGATTCTTAAATAAAAGTCCCATGATTTGTTTTTCAGCTTCTTTATTATATAAACATTCTTTATTATATAACATGCTAGCAGTACGCGCTTTGCTCTTATATAGTCACACGATATCTTGCATGCATCTTTAGTAAGTTTGTTGTTTCAATGTTCTCGATAACGAAAAAGCTTTAGATACCGGTCGCTTATTCCTATCTCACGTTCGTATTCAGTATTTTTGTCACACTGCCCTCTCCGTAAGTCTGATGGTCTGGAATGTCTCCCCCATAGTATATATGTACCTCGTTCAGCAAGTCACGGATGCTTCGTTTTTTTCCGCTCCTATATTTAATTACGTATTTGAGTTCTGTGCAGTTTTTGTCCTAATTCTCTTGAATCTCACTCAGTTCTCATGAAATACGTACTTCCTGGTCTTGCAGTTGTGCCGCATATTGAAACTTTGGTATTGCAGTCATGATTAAATCTGCGCTGTCATCTTATAGATCGGATGTTTGCAAAAATCCGAGTTCTTACGCCGCTACCGATTGTCAAGGGAACTATTGGATTTTAGTCAGGCATGCCTAACCGCGAATAGATTCATTAACTCCTAACCCGTAGGGGTTATGGGAATCCAACAAATTTTTGGGCCTATCTTTTGTTGACTTCACTTTTCTAAATACTTCGCAGATTAAAAAGATTAATTTTTCTCTAGATATTTCGTTGATGCTTCTAGATGTGTTTTCGTCTACGCGACGGAATTCGTTTTGGCTCAATGTCTACGGTTTTCATAGCTTCTCGCAGCCGTCATTGTTGCTCTGCCATATTTCCGTTAGATTTCCTGGATCATTTCCCGAATCCTTCGAGCTCGAACCCATGACTGTAAAATAAATATCCCGAGTTTCCTTGTTGTAAACACATAGTTTATTAACTATACCAGAGAACTGAACTTAAACGAAAAGGTTCATTGCGTGCCGTTTGTCACTCTGTTCCGCGTTCTATGAGTGCAAGTTAAGCATTAGTCGTCATTAGATACGCCAAAAAATAATTCGATACAAAAATCAGTATTTTAATTTTAATTAAAACTAAGGCAATATTACAACATAAATCACTTAAGAACAATGACTTTAAATCACTTGTAAATTAGTGAAAAATTATGTTTGATTAAATTTAATAATTTTGTACTTGATCTTTATACATACATACATTATTACAGTAAATATTTCAATTTATTTAGCGTAAGACCTATTTACTTTTGATGGATTAGTTATTTTTGTTATGCAAAAGAAAAATTTTTGTTTTGTTTTATAGTGACAGCGGTTTCGGAGATAACCACACCCCCAATCATACTTCTTATTTAAGCTGTTACATTCATTTTATAATTTTATCCGATCTAATAGGAAAATCTACTAGGGTTGTAATTCAAGCTGATGCTGGAGTGGGTGTTGTAGTTCCATCTGTGGTTGTGGTTCTGCTGGAGGACGTGGTTTTGACTTTTTGCCAAATGAGAAATTGCCACTTTGCTTAGATACCACAGGCAGGAGATTTTCAGCCGAGCGTGTTCTGAAATATAGGAAATTAGATATATCCCATATTTCTATTTTAAATTAATTAATTGATAACTTACACTGTTTTTAAAACAGCCAATTTGGGTATATTCTTTGTGAATTGCTTTTCTCCGGACGCCTCCTGCACAGCAAATTCTTCTGGATGCGACCTTTTTTTGTGGGTTCGACAATTGGAACCGCTAGCAAAAGTTCTGTCGCAAAAGTCACAAGAATAAGGCCTTAAGCCACTATGTAGTATTAAGTGCGCTTTTAATGTTTTAGCACGTTTAAATTTCCGCCCACAGTAGTCGCACTTGTGACTCATTACATCCGAATGTACAAGCATATGACGATTTAGTGTTACTCGAGAATTTAATTGTAAGCCACATTCGCTGCAGTTATGTTTATTATTACTGTGTATCTCCAGGTGTTTCTGCGTGTTCAAAGTTGTTATCATTCTTATTATTTATCATTTTTTATTTATTTTATAAGCATATTTAGATGAACAATATTAAATTACCTTCAGACGAGATTTACATTTGAAGCCTTTCTCACATACTTCGCATATAAAGGGTGTATCGTTGGTGTGTGTGAGCATATGCTCTCGTAAAGTAGTTTCTGTACGCACTCCTTCCCCACATTCTTCACAAATGAATTCACGTATGTTCTCATGTACAAATTTTATATGTCTAGCAACGTAATCTTTCGTTTCGAATTTTCGTTCACATTGCGGACATGGAAATATTCGCTTCTCCGCCAGTGGGCGATGAGTTTTAATGTGACGATTTAAGTTGAAACTATTTGTGAAAGTTCTACCACATTGTGGACATGAAAGATGTGGCTCATCATTTTTAACAACGCCATGAATTTTCTTCATATGTAAGTAATAATTACCTCTTCGTTGAAAATCCATCGAACAATCGCTGCAACTGTATTTAGACTCCTTAGTTGCTTGCTCCGTTTTGTTTAAGGATTTATTCTTTTGATACTTTGCCGCATGTGATCTTAAATGAAGATTTAAATGGGTAGTGGTTTTGAATTTTTTACTACATTGCGGACATGTAAAGAGGCTATGCTTTTGCTCCATATGCTGGTGATAATCAACACTTTGTGGAAAATACATTGAACAGTCTTTACAAAAATATTTATCTTCCCTTATATCGCCATTGGCTTTTTTGTATTCTTCACTTTTGGTATCTAAATTCTTATCTATGTTACCTGAATTAATACTGTCATCTTCACTACATTGATTTTCATCTATATCACCAATAGGATCTTGGAATTCACGTTTGAATTCGAGACTTTCGAAAAATATACCATTTTGCACTTCTTCCGTTAATATTTCATTTTTTATCGGGGTCGCTAATGTCTTATCCGTAGTTTCTACTACATCGGGCACGAAAATATTTTCAATTGAGTATTTTACATCTAATAAACTAAAACTAAATAGATCTTCATCCAGCAAGTTATATTTTTCACGGAAAGCTCTCAGGTTAAGACTTTTTTGTACATGTTCTGGACTTTCTTCACTTGAATTGTGTATTTGGAAAGCGCTGTAATTAATGAGAAGCACTGTCCACAAAGCCAGTGTGGTAGTTCTGCATCTTCCTCAATCTGAAAAGAGTTTAAAGATCTTGCTAAGTGTATGTATGACTCTGGGCAGATTAAGTAGTTACCTGAATTTTAAAAAATTCTGTAATGAAATCCAAAAGAGAGCTTGAAGGATCTGTGGCTGGTGTTTGACTCCCTTCTGGTAGTATGTTGATATTTCGTACATCATCTTTAGAACATAGTCGACACCAAAATTGCCACTCAGCGTCACCGGCAATGTCACCTCCGCACTCTTCCAGGCCATACGACATCATAAACAAATTCTCCAAACTTTAATGCTCTTTTTGGTTATAAAAAATAACAATTCTATTTACTAATTTAACGTTACTTGATTGCTTCAAAGTTTCAAGATAGAAATAATTATTTGTCCAACTTATTAGCCATATCGGCATCGCCAATTACAACTTGTTAGTTTATTATAAATTTATTTGTATATCTTTCAGCAGAGAACGTTCTCTGCTTTCAGAAGTTGGTAATGTGTAGTATTTGTGGTGGGTACAGCAGCGATGAAAGTCGATTAATGATAATTTATATTATCGTAAGAATATGCAAGAAATTTTCCGAGCTGACCACGTACAATCAGTGAGGTATATGAGACAGCGGACATCACATGGCTAATGAGTCGTCGGGCATAGTAAAGCAGTTGTTTTTTGTTAAGAACTAAACTCTTGTTCGATCTTAAATGATTTGGCAAATCAATAAGATGTATTAAGGAAAATCGTTAGAAATCAAATAGCGTTTGGTTGAAACTATAATATCATATGTACATATGTATATGCACATTCGTACATATGTTTGTTACCTTATTTCTTGATTTTATTGTTGTTTAAACTCTGCCACTGCTAATAGAGATACGCACAGCTCGATTCAACATGCCAAATATCAAAAATAAGAGTTGTAAAAGCTTCGAATCTCGTTGCTTTTAACAATTGTAACGGTACGAATTTTCAAATTTATACATATGTATGTGTAACAAAATTTTTGATTATCAGGCCTATTCTCACTGTTACCGCTAAAGTAAATTTTGTTACTTTTCTTTAACACCCGAAATTGAATTTGGTATCAGTTCACATCGAAATGGAAGACGGTGCACAAAAAAATTGAAAAGTTTTAGTAATTTGTTTATTAAATCATAAATATTTCAACCTAATTATGGAAAATATGCCTGGACAACAAAAAAAGCTGATTGTAAACGTTATCTTACAAATTAAAGAGCTACTTATTAGTCTCGAAAACTTCTTAAAATACGCCTTTTTGCACTTTTTTCGCCATCTTCAATGAATTCCAGGCCTTAAATATGCCTACCCATTTTGTTTTTTAATTTTTTCTCAAACAGCAATTTACAGGGTGACAGTGAACTCAGAATACGAAATAGTAACAAAATTTACTAAATGGTAAATTTTAATACCATAGTAAATTTTGTTACCTCGACAGAATAGGCCTGTAAGAAGTACTTATTACAATAAAAATACTTATTAGTCATAGAAATGCCAAAGAATAATTAGAGACAAAAATCAGTGGTTAAGCAGTATAGTTAATATGTGCTCATTATACGTCTCTGTTTAAATTAATCATCGTGTTTTTTATAAACATACTCACGTGGAACGATGCTAAAAATGTTTTGTAATAAAATCCACGCTAAAAATGGCTTTCAATCGCTTTTGATTCTGGAAACTCCAACTACTCATACTCATTCGTTTTTCATGCCAAGATAAACATGGTATTTTTCGAGAAATAAAGTCGAATATCACCAATATTAGTACCTTAAATATGTATCTTAGTTTTAGTTAAAACTAAGGCAATATTACAACATGAATCACTTAAGAACAATGACTTTAAATCTTTTGCAAAAATTAGTGAAAAATTTAGTTTTGTTAAATTTAATAATTTTCAATTTGATCTTTATACTTTATTACAGTAAATATACATATATACAGTACACTTTTTTTGTATTATTTAGATAGTGAAAGGCCTATTTACTTTCGATAAATTGAATATTTTTGTTATGCAAAAGAAAATGTTAAAAGTGACAGCTGTTTCGGAGGTAACCACACCCCCAATCATACTTCTTATTTAAGCTGTTACATTCATTTTATAATTTTATCCGATCTAATAGGAAAATCTACTAGGGTTGTAATTCAAGCTGATGCTGGAGGGGGTGTTGTAGTTCCATCTGTGGTTGTGGTTCTGCTGGAGGACGTGGTTTTGACTTTTTGCCAAATGAGAAATTGCCACTTTGCTTAGATACCACAGGCAGGAGATTTTCAGCCGAGCGTGTTCTGAAATATAAGAAATTAGATATATCCCATATTTCCATTTTAAATTAATTAATTGATAACTTACACTGTTTTTAAAACAGCCAATTTGGGTATATTCTTTGTGAATTGCTTTCCTCCGGAAGCCTCCTGCGCGGCTAATTCTTCTGGATGCGACTTTTTTTTGTGTGTGCGACAATTCGAACCGTTAGCAAAAGTTCTGTCACAAAAGTCACAAGAATAAGGCTTCAAGCCACTATGTAGTATTAAGTGCGCTTTTAATGTTTTAGCACGTTTAAATTCCCGCCCACAGTAGTCGCACTTATGACTCATTACATCCGAATGTACAAGCATATGCCGATTTAGTGTTACTCGAGAATTTAACTGTAAGCCACATTCACTGCAGATGTGTTTATTGCTACTGTGTATCTCCATGTGATTCTGATTTTCAAAGTTTTTTTGTTATAAATTATTATATTATTTATATGTATCGTACATTAAAAATATTATCTTACCTTCAGACGTGATTGATTTTTGAAGCCTTTCTCGCATACTTCGCATATAAAGGGTGTATTGTTGGTATGAGTGAGCATATGCTCTCGTAGTGTAGCTTCTGTACGTACACCTTCCCCACATTCTTCGCAAATGAATGAACGTATGTTCTCGTGTACAAATTTTATATGTCTAGCAACGTAATCTTTCGTTTGGAATTTTCGTTCACATTGCGGACATGGAAATATTCGCTTCTCGGCCAGGGGGCGATGAGTTTTAATGTGACGATTTAATTTGAAATTAGTTTTGAAAGTTCTACCACATTGTGGACATGAAAGATGTGGCTCATCATTTTTAACAACGCCATGAGTTTTCTTCATATGTAAGTAATAATTACCTCTTCGTTGAAAATCCATCGAACAATCGCTGCAACTGTATTTAGACTCCTTAGTTGCTTGCTCCGTTTTGTTTAAGGATTTATTCTTTTGATACTTTGCCGCATGTGATCTTAAATGAAGATTTAAATGGGTAGTGGTTTTGAATTTTTTACTACATTGCGGACATGTAAAGAGGCTATGCTTTTGCTCCATATGCTGGTGATAATCAACACTTTGTGGAAAATACATTGAACAGTCTTTACAAAAATATCTATCTTCCTTTATATCGCTATTGGTTTTTACGCATTCTTCACTTTTGGTTTCTAAATTCTTATCTACGTTACCTGAATTAATACTATCTATTTCACTACATTGATTTTCCTCCATGTCCCCAATAGGATCTTGAAATTCACGTTTGAATTCGAGACTTTCGAAAAATATACCACTTTGCACTTCGTCCGTTAATATTTCATTTTTTATCATGGTCTCTAATGTCTTATCCGTCATTTCTGCTACATCGGGCACGAAAATATTTTCAATTGAGGATTTTACATCTAATAAACTAAAAATAAATAGATCTTCATCCAGCAAGTTATATTTTTCACGGAATGCTCTCAGGTTAAGACTTTGTACATGTTCTGGACTTTCTTCACTTGAATTGTGTATTTGGAAAGCGCTGTAATTAATGAGAAGCACTGTCCACAAAGCCAGTGTGGTAGTTCAGCATCTTCTTCAATCTGAAAAGAGTTTAACGATCTTGCTAAGTATATGTATGACTCTGGGCAAATTAAGTAGTTACTTGAATTTTAAAAAACTCTGCTATGAAATCCGAAAGAGAGCTTGAAGGATTTGTGGCTGGTGTTCGACTCCCTTCTGGTAGTATGTTGATATTTCGTACATCATCTTTAGAACATAGTCGACACCAAAATTGCCACTCAGCGTCGGCAATGTCACCTCTACACTCTCCCAGCCCATTAGACATCATAAACAAATTCTCTAAACTTTAAAGCTCTTTAAGGTTTTTATAAACAATTTTAACTTGTTTACCCTAACTTCTTAGCTTTAAAGTTTCAAGGAAGAAAGAGTTATCTGTCCAACTTATTAGCTATATCGCTATCGCCAATTACAACTTGTTAGTTTATTATAAATTTATTTGTATATCTTTCAGAAGTTAGTAATGTGTAGTATTTGTGGTGGGTACAGCTGCGATGAAAGTCGATTAATGATGATTAATTTTTTGATAATACGGCTCTTCCACTGCATCAAGAATTACATGACCACATCTCAATTTCGAACGCCAATTAATCCATTCATACTACTTGCAATTCGACAGTTTTCTCTTTCACTGCCTTGGTTTTGTTGGTTCTATTTGAAAACGCAGAGAAAATGAAAGTTTTTATTTGTTTTTTCGCCAGCACGCGGAATCCGATAAAAATAATATTAAATCATATCATCTTGCTGTGATTATATTTTCAATAGGTTGATTATCCGGCTACATATTAAAACTTCTTAAATAATTTCTAATTTTTTCCGGTTTTAATATATTGTGACGAAAAAAATACCAAATACCAATAACAGATGAAGAGGAGAGGCCGACGATAATTAAACACCTTCGCTAGGATCGAATATTATGTATATCGTAAGATCATGCCGGAAACTTTCTGAGCTGAGTACGTGCAATCAGTGAGGTATATGAGACAGCAGACAACACATAGCAAAAAAGTCGTCTGGTATAATAAAGCAAGTTGTTATGTATTAATAATAAATATACATTGATTGATTTGTTTCCAACTAATAAATTGTACAATGTTTTGTGACTTTTATTTAACAATCCACTGTTCCAACTCGAATGATTTGGGAAATTAAATAGACGTATTAAGGAAAATCGTTAGAATACCAATAATATTTGATTTCAAAGAAAAGTGTTTTTTTTTTTGTTTTTGTTTTGTTTTTTTGATAAATTTCCGATGAAAATGAGAGAAGACAATAATTTAGTCGTAATGCGCATGGTAATTGAGAATAAATTACCAACATCTGAAAAATGGATGGAATTAGGTAATTTGACATGTATTTGGAGTCGGAACAGCGTAATTGGGGTGCTGTGGAAATGCCCATTAGGCTGTCCCAAAAGCCAACTATAAATGAGAAAGCGAAACACAGGGAGGTCAAATAGAAATGCAGTTCAAATCCAACTAATATATGTACATTATGTAGATACAAATATATAAATATATGCAATTCAAAATCATTTAAGTTTTTTTTAGATTTTGTTTTATTTGAATTGACGCTATAATATAAATCGTAGCAAGCAATTCATACAATTTTAGTTTATGGTTTAATCAAATTTGTAAATTATATCTTTCTTGTGTAGTAGCGAAATTGAGTGTGAACAGTTTGAAGCTCTTCGATTGAAGTACAAACTGTTTCAAGTTTAAAGTTATGTTAATGATTAATGCGAACAAATAAATGTTTGGAAATAGACGTCACAATCTACGGGCTTAGCAATCCTTTGGGATACATATGTCCTATATGTATGTATGTATGTATTTAAGTTAATATATTTAACCCATAGTGTTTACCTAATAAATATAAGGATAAACTTGTTAACAAAATATTATAAATTACCAAACATTATGTTAACTTACGATGTCATCGATCTTTAGGATAGAGCGCACTGTTTCCGTGGACAAGGAAATTGCTGAAATACTGACCAATAGCGGTTGTAATACATTTTCGGCCAAAATATCGGTAATAGCCCCCTTACGCACATTTATACCAGCAGTCTTCTCACCCTGTGCATGACGATTTCTCAATTCGGTTACAGTAGCAATGGGATTGAGACCGGCATTTTCAGCCAAAGTCGAGGGTATAACCTCCAAAGCATCAGCAAATGCACGGAAACAATAAGCATCAACACCTTCCACTGTTTGTGCATAAGCGGCCAATTGCAAAGCCATTTCGATCTCTGGTGCACCCCCACCAACAATTTGTGCACGTTTCTTTACCAAACAACGTACTACACAGAGCGCATCATGCAATGAACGTGCAGCTTCTTCCAGCACTAATTTGTTCGAGCCGCGACATACAATGGATACTGTGCGACCAGGATTTTGGATGCCAGTGATCTTGACGAATTTCGAAGTACCACTTGGCACCTCTTCGACGAGATCTGCGTTTATTAGATTTTCGGCAACAAAATGATCCAATGATGCAATGGGGCGACAATTCAAAGTTTTACAAACAAATTCGATGTCTTCGCGTTCAACATCCTTTACAACAAGACATTTGATTTTATCTAAGAAATGTTGTGCCAAATCGGAAACAGCATCTCTGTAAGTACATGCAAAAATATTTATAGATAACGAGTATTTTTTTGTTTTAAGGAAAATTTTCTTACCTCAAGATAGATTTCTGCACCAAAAGCACATTGCAACCGGCCTTCTTGATCTGCTTTACAATGTTCAAAATGTAAGCACGCTCTTCTTTTAAGACACGATCCATAGCGGCATAATCGGACACAATAACATTGTGGTCCATCTAAAAGTTGATATAATATTTTATATATCGACAGATTTCACCAAATATTTTTTATATAAAACTCACATCAGTCTTTGGCGCCGAAATGCAGAACTGTATTAATCCGATCTTAGCTTTTTCGATGCGTTTAGGTGCATTTGTACCAGCTGAACGAGAGGTGAAAACTAAACCTTCAATCAACTCGGTATCCTCGACAGTACCACCAAGACTGCGGATAACTTTGATATTTTTCAAATCAACAGCTCCTTCCTTGCCGGGCTCCGTAACATTCAGCACAGCATCAACAGCAAGAGGTGCCAATAGACTGCTTTGTTGGGAGACTACTTTGGAATTCAGAGAAGTTGAGGCACTCTTGATAAGTGTATCGCGATCAGTCAACTCAATGGGGGTGGACATTTCGGTGAGAATCTCAATAGCTTTGTTTGCGCAACGTTGGAAGGAATCAGAAATTGCTGTTGGATGAATACCTTTATGCAATAACTTTTCACATGCTTCCAATAGAGCACCAGCTATTACCACAACCGAAGTTGTGCCGTCACCAGCTTCTACATCTTGAGCACGTGATAATTCGACAAGCATTTTTGCTGCTGGATGAAGTACATTCATTTGCTTTAGAATGGTAGCACCGTCATTTGTGATCGATACTTCACCATTGCCGGCTTGAATCATCTTATCCATGCCGCGTGGTCCTAAACTGGTGCGTATGGCATCCGAAACAGCTAAAATAAATAAAACAAAAGAAATAGTAAGTATTTGTTAGTATTGCAATGTGTAATAACTAGAAACTATGACGTCACCGACAATTTATAAACTAAAACATTTTTGGAAACACTTTTATTGCTTCAAATACATAATTCACATATTTTTACACTTTTCTTACAGCATGTTTAATGAATCATCTGACACACCCCCAAAACTACCGCACCGTAAGGAATTTTCCAGACAGTTGTTATTGTATGCGGTTTTAACGCCTCCATTACCAACTCGTTTTGGTCTATTAGTCAAACAAATGTCACTATTTTTGTTAAATTTTCATTGGTGCACTTTAATTTTCTAACCAATTTATGCATCACTTTATGCACAAATTTGAAATAAATATTAATTTCTGATAAAATCAGGTATTTTGCTGATTTCTAACCTTTGGCTGCTTGAATATTTGATAGACGCACATCGGCCGGTTTCGATTTATCTTTGAAGGCTTGACCTTTTGGTTTAACCGGAACGAAGTTTGCTTTCGGTGCCATTGTACTTTTGGCTATTTGATTTTATTCACTTTTTAAATTATTAAATAAAATTTCTCAACGATTTATGCGGATTAAAATCACCAAAAAACACCAAGCAGAAATTCAACGCAGAAGACCGATTAATTTCAGTTTTTTCGTTTTCCTTTACATTCGATTTTACATTTGACAGTCAAAATGTCTACAGAAGGAAGAGTGAAAATAACGTTGCCAGAGCGGTTGAAGGGCCAAAGCTTGTTTAAGCAAGTGTAACGATTAGCCCAATACAGCGATATGTTAAAAAAATTGTGGAGAGATATCATCCAAGGGTATAAAACAGCTGGACAGCGGCACCTTTGCAATTATGGGACCAGACTGTCCAGGTGCATGACCTCATGCATTTCCGCCGATCATCTCCACTAATATGTCTTGATGTTTTTCCAACAAATGGATAGACCAGAATGTTAGTCTGGTCACATGATTTCTTGAACCCTTGATCCACTGCATAATAGCTCGCACAGTTAGCCTCTAGGTTGCTTCTATCGTCTTCCTCTAATGTCCGTACTTTATGCACATAAATGTATGAACTCAAAATTTTAGTTATTTTTAGTATAAACTTCAGAGGAGAACTGAAATAACAGTTAAAGTAAATTAATAGTTTTTCTACATGTATACAACATTTAATTTGAAATTGTTCATAACTTATACTCGCCAAGCCGGTTACATTTTTCACTAATATTTAAAAGAGATTTGTTTCATTTTTATTCGTTGTGCAACACTGCATTCACATGCCAAATTTTACTCTATTTCCTTTTCTTTAGGCTTCTTACCGACATAATTCAGAATTTTTTCTGTTTCGTGGGAAAACAAATTATTTGCTGAATAAAATTCTAATTGAAAACAAAGATCAATCAGATGACAACCTATAACTAGGACACCCAGCAAAATCCAAGTCAAAATTAACAGCATTAAGAATATTTAGTGCCGGATTTATTGAGTAACAAATCAAAGGTAAATATGTGAGTAAACGTACATTGCACCACCGGTTCCTCCTCATATTCGGTTGCCATAGGTAAAAAAATCGATTACCATCTTTTGTTTTATGGCACTGTGGCGCAATGTTAAAGTAAAAAAATTAGCATTGTTTCTTATCTACGCGCCGCACTGATGTAACGCATAGGTGTGACTACGCTAAGTGCGCTATGTATAAAATACTAGCAATGGTTTCACTGTCATAATGAAATTTACTTATTTTTATAGTTACAGAAGACTGTTGTTTTATTTTCAACGCATATACCGATAAAAATACAGTTATGGCCTATCGCTACGGTTCCATTAGCTTAACACGATGGCAATTGGCTTTGTTGGTTGGTACACCCGTTGCTATTGGTTTAGGTATCTACGTTTACCGAAAATCAATTTCGGAAAGGAAATCAATTGGCGACAATGACGCTTCAAATAATGTTGGTGATCGCAAGAAGGGACTACCCGGAAAGGATAAAAATCAAACCTTATCTATTGATGGCACTACCGAAGATAAGGAGTTTGAGCTAAAGAAGAAGAAAGCAGAATTGGAAAGCTTAAAACTATCACCGCTCAAGGAAGCCACTATGTATAAGAATGAGGGTAATGTTTGCTATCGTAATGGCAAATATGACGAAGCTATTTCATTCTATGATAAGGCCATTGATAAATGCCCTTCCGAAGAACGTACAGATCTTGCGATTTTCTATCAGAATCGGGCTGCCGCTTACGAAATGTTGAAAAAATGGAATCGTGTCAAAGAGGATTGTACTCGTTCACTTCAATATAATCCACAGTATGCGAAAGCTTACTATAGGCGCGCTAAAGCACACGAGGCGACAAATGATTTAATGGATTGCTTGGATGATGTGACAGCGACTTGTATATTGGAAATGTTCCACAATAACAGCACTATTATGTATGCAGATCGTATATTGAAGCAAACGGGTCGTGAAGCAACTGAACGAGCACTTAAAGAACATGTGCCAGTGTTACCATCGAAGTACTTCATATATACTTATCTAAGTTCGTTTATTGCTGATCCCATTGAAACAATCACCATACTTGCACCAGAAGAGGGTGTAGCTTTAAAAGGATTCGCGCGTGCGAAGAAAGCGCTAGAAGATAGACAATATGAAGATGTCATTGCAGCTTGCACGGAAGAGATTGAGACATCAGAAGCTGAATCTCAGTATAAAAGCGAAGCTTTATTGCTCCGTGGCACATTTTATTTGCTCTCGGGCAATTTCGCTGCAGCGAAACATGACTTGGATGCTGTGATCAATAATGGTAAGTATTTATGTTTGATTGAAGCAATAATTCCTGTCGCGCAATTCACGCTTATATATTAATTTTATATGTATATATTACTCCCAATCTTAGCCGCTGCAGAAGTATCGCTACATGCCGCTGCGCTCATAAAACGTGCATCTCTACACATTCAACAGGAAGAGAAGGATTTAGGCTTAGTCGATTTTGATGCCGCCTCGAAATTGCAACCGAACAATCCCGATATTTATCATCAACGTGCGCAAATATACATACTGCTCGACCAATTGAATGAAGCTTTAAGCGAATTTGAAAAGGTTATTAAAATGGCACCAAATCATGCTATGGCCTATGTGCAGAAATGTTATGCCGAATATCGTATGTCGCTGATGTCTCAAGATCAAATGCGTCTCATGATTGTTATGAACGAATTTAAGAATGCCATTGAGAAATATCCCGATTGTGTTGAATGCTTTAGTTTAATGGGTCAAGTTCTAAGCGATCAACAACAATTCCAGCAAGCTGATGAATTTTATGAAAAAGCTTTGAAACTGGCGCCAGATAATGCGTCACTGCATGTTCACCGTGCCATAATGCTATTGCAATGGAAGGGTGACATTGAAAAGGCAATAACGCTCATTAATCACGCTTTAGAAGTCGATAGCAAATGTCTATTAGCATATGAAACTCTCGGCACAATTGAGGTGCAGCGCGCCAATTTGAATCATGCTGTTGATCTATTCGAAAAGGCAATTAAATTAGCAAAAAGTAAATCAGAAATGAGTCATCTTTATGCTTTGCGTAATGCGGCGGTGGCACAAATAAATGTTACAAGCAAATTGGGTATTGATATGGCGAAAATTTCAGCGTTAGCTGCTGGTATAGCGCCACCGTCTATGTAAGCGTACGAAACGTATACAAATCTTTAAAGTTAAATATACCACTTAGCATCGTGTTAAGTCAACTTGCAATATAAACACACACACTACATACATAACTACCAATATAATAAGAGTTTAGATTGAGTTTTGTAGAAAAAAAAATCAAACAGCGTTTAAAACCTATTTGCATTTCTCTACATTTTTATTCCAGCAGCGACAGACAAACTGCAACCATTGCAATATAAAATGTTAAAAAAAAAAGTTTGTTTAACTTCAAATATTGCAATTGTTTGTTTTTGGTTTGCTTGTAGTTTGGAAACGGAATAGAATTCACATTGTACAATTACATACAACAGGATATACATACACATACGCATGTATTATAATAGTAGTAATATTTTAGTTATTTAGTTGTGGCCTTGTTATTGAATGAAAGTAAGTTATCATGATTTTAATTTTTGTTGATGTCAAATTTTATGTTTCTCTTTCGTATGTACATCCTATACAAGAAGAACTTGCATATATACAGTCCAAACTAAATTATAACATTACCTACATAAGTACGCTTAAATCATTGTTATCGATAAAAAAATTAATAAATAAATTTAAAACTAAAATTAGCATAGTATAAACACAAATGTTGTTTTTCGGGTGAATAATTAGTAAATGTGTTCTAACTACAGTGGCTGAGTGGTGGCGGAGTGGTTATGAAGTTTGTGTTACGGTGCGGAGCAGAATGAATATCGCTAGAGCAATATTCAAAATTACAGTAAACTAAGTTTCTAATTTTTTGCAGTGCCTTCACAGCAGGGAAAACACATGTTTCTGGCATGAAGCGAAAAACGAACCTTTTTAATAAGAATCCATCAGCTGTTTTGAGGCTCTTAAAAGAAATATGTTGGAAATAAAGATGCACCATATAAGCGCCAATTATATTATCCGATACCAAAGTATCGAACTAAAACTCAAATAAGAAAATGGGTATGCCCGATTTGCTATTTCGCAGTGTATCAAAACACGTGTACACCTAGAAGGCTCTACAAGGCTAATCCCAGGATATCTCAAATAAGTTGCACTCATTATTTTCTCTCAAAAATTTCAAAAATGTATTTATTATACAATATTTTGTCTAATTTCCGGATATTTTTCCGTTCAGCTACTTATGCTTCCGAAGGAAATGAAACACAACTGCCAACTTAATTTCGTTGTTTGGTTATGCATTCGTTGCATTGGGATTATTTTGAAACAGATTTTTCGGCTTCTCTTATAGCTTCGGTTTTGTATTGTTTATTACAGTAAAAAATAGTATATTAATTTAAATGATAATTAACAATTACTTTTTAATAAAGATTCTCTCTTCAGAACTGTCATTTTATTACACTTTCAGGTAAAATAGTTGGTAACGCCATATTCATAGCAAAGAAAATTAAATCGCCGGTAAGCGCGTCCGGAAATAATTTTTGTGTTTTTATTTGTGAAATGAAATATTCTAAACTAAACTCGATTTATGGTGTAATAAGTAATAAGTGCGTACAATGTTAATAAAAGTAACAACAACAAATTAATAGTTTCATAAAAATTAATAGTTTCATAAAAATTAATAGTGTCTCTAAGCACGAGTGTGCTGAACGGAAGTTCCAAATAATTAGCAGTAGCTGTTTGTTCAGTGTCAAACGTAATAAATTTATAATTTTCAGTTGTTACTTAATTTTAAATCGTTCATAAAACGCAAAACGAGTTTTGGTGCTTTCGAAGAAATTCATTCCTTTTTCGCTGACTCATTCCATTCCTGTACTTCAGCTGTGCCCCAAATGCAAAACGGAATTGTTGGTATTGTAAGTATTGCAAGCGCCAACCAAAATACCTGTTGCCATTCATGTAAGTGTGTCTATGGCATTAAATATAAATTAAGAAAAAGTTAATATCTATTAAAGGGACATGTTGATGATTTAAAATTTTATTTCTAGTGAAATATGCTCTTTTTGTATACCTTTTTAGTTAACCATCCTACAGAATATGGTGCAAGCACACCAGCAATACCGCCTATGCCATTCACTATGGCCATAACAGTTGCGGAATAATTCGGTGTCATATCGTTTGCAGTCAATTTAATGCCGGCATAATAGCCTCCCATCAAAGACATCGAAATGGTAAAACATAAGATTATCAATGCTGTATTACAACCAACATAGACGGCTAAAACCATAAAGAGACCGGAGGGCGTGGCAGCTGAATATAAAATGAGAAAATTAATCAAATCATATCGAACATATATACATACATATGTGGTATTTTTTTGAGAATATTTCTTCATTTTAACTTGCCTATAAAAGTCATAACTTTTCGTGCGATTGTGGCCTTCGTCGCATTCCGTTTTATAACACAATCAGCAATTCCACCGAATATTAGTGAAAATAGCCAAAACAAAAGAAATGGTATCGATGAAAATATGCCGGTTTTGAGTATTTGTAATTGCAACACATCATTGAGAAATTTCGGAAAACAAGAGGACATCACATAAAAACCCCAATCGTGCGCAATTTGTGCTAAAATGAGCACCCACATCTCCTTACTCTTGAATACGGGAACCCAAGGGAAACGTGGCAAATTATGATCACGTCCTAAACGGCCCATATGTTTCATTAGATACTCCTTCTCCTTGTCACTAATATACGGATGTGAATTCGGATCGCTAAAACACATTAAAATCTAAAGTGTTGAGTTAAGTTAGGTTACTTGCATTTATGTAAAGATATGTAAGAAAATACAAAACTTACGAAAAATAAAATCCACAATGCTGCCATTATACCGAATGTATAAAATACCCATGGCCATTTTGCGTAACGCAGCAGAGCACCCGATAAACTATTACTCAAGACAGTGCCCATTTGACCACCGCCCATTATAAAAGCGCCAAGTAAACTACGTTCATGTATCGGTACCCAGTGTGCCAAGAGCGCACTACATGAGGGATACGAAAAGCCCGCACCGAAACCCATTATGGTACGTAAAACAATCAGAGCGTAAGGTCCGAGTAAAGTAATGCAGAGAGGCGTTAATAATGTTAGTATTGTGGCGGTAGACATGCCACAGACGAGCACCCATTTAGCGCCATACTTTTCAGAGAGTAAGCCCGCTGGCACGTGACCCAATATGTAGCCAATGTAAAAGGAACCAAGTATGTAACCTTGTAGTTCCTGTGACCAATCGTATTCACCACCGGGCGTCTAATGTGTTTGTGTGTGCGTGCGTACAATTGTTTGTGGAAGAGTTAATTATTTTCATCATAAAAAGTGTTCTTTTTTAATTTATTTCACTTTACTTTACCTCCTCATCATCAACTGTTTCGTCCGGTTTTGGACAAACTTCTCCACTGGCCTCGGTTTCATTGGAGTAAGAACGTGCCAAGACCAGACGCGTTATTGTAACGGAAATGCAACTGCGTAACGTATAGTTATTGATAATCGATAAAAATCCCATTATGGACATGATTACTCGTTGGGGCAGCGGTACGCCTACATATGTGGAATTGCAGGAATTTGATTAAAAGAAATAGGTGAAAATAAATTAATTGATTTCTAAAATTTCTAAATAATTGCAAGAAACTTACATTTTGATAATCTTTTACCCCACTCTGGTCGTGTATCCTCTCCAGTTTCCATTTTTTATAACAAAAATTTTATAATTCGCGGATATTCTATTACTTCCTTCTCTTTTTTATGCTCTGAAAAAATGTTTCAAAAAATCAGTTTTGTGATTTCGACAGTTATTTCAAATTTATAAACAAAGTTGGTAGGAAAGTACAAAAGAAATAGTAGCAAATAGTAACCGTACAGTGATGGCTGAAAATAGTTGAATAGATAAGAGAAAAGTGTAAAACATATTTTCTAAGGTGTTTTAGAGGCAAGTGAAAGCCACGTCTGTCTCGAAGAAATTCCAGCCGAGAGAATTACTTTCGACCATTTTTTTTTTAAGTAATTGGAGCTGCAGGCATCTGTTTAGACAAGTGGCTTCAAATAACCCAAAAATGAAAAAATAGTCCAAAATCGCATGATTTTGAAGGCCACGCCACAAACCCGCGACGTGAGCTAATACGCTCACTAAAAGCTTCTTCCAATAACATTGATTGTTTCGTTGTCTGTATGTCACTTGTGACGCTCTCTTGTTGGCACTAACGGTCGCCCACATCGATATTCTGCAATTCGCGCACGAAAAAGTCAGTAGTCATGGGTCTATAGCATTACCCATTGACTTTAACAGTACGAGGTGTGTTCAAAAAATATCGCGAATTTTGTGTTTTTTTTTAATTATTTATTTATACATGAATATCTATTTTGTCCCCTTCAAAGTAATTCCCATGAGATATTATACACTTGTGCCAACGGTTTTCCCAATCTTCGAAGCACTTCAAAAAACATTTTTTTTATCTTGTTCAGCTCCTCCTTCGATGCCGTCTTTATCTCGTCAATCGTAGCGTAACGTCGTCCTTTCATGAGCCTCTTCAGTTTAGGGAACAAGAAAAAGTCACAGGGAACCATTTGGGGAATACGGTGGCTGTGGCATCATTAGTGTGTTGTTTTTGGCCAAAAAGCCGCGCACAAGCAACGATGTGTGAGCAGGGGCGTTATCGTGGTGCAAAAGCCAATTTTTGTTATTCCACAAATCCGGACGTTGCTTAGCGCAAATTGCGCATAACTTGCAGGTAATATTCCTTATTGACCGTTCTACCCTATGGCAAGAACTCATTATGCACCACGCCCCCTGCAATTAATTTTTTCGTCTGTTGTTGAAGTGCTCGGGCGTACGGCACGCTCTTCGTCGTTCACATCTTCTCGGCCTGCTGAGAACATTTTGTACCACCGTGTAACCAACGGGTAACGCGTTTGTTGATGGTTCGGGTTCAGCTATTGCACGAGTTTTATTTTGTATGCCCACAAACTAAGATATTCCGCAAAATCTTCGATAAAGTGGATGAACACAGCTCCAATGTGCATTATCCACTAACGTAAATGTGATCGAAACCCATCCATAATTGCTCAAATTACCGACATTTCTGGGCTATTATGCCGAGAGAATATTAGACGCAGAGCGCTTAATGTCACGTGAACTGATCCATTATTTTCGTAATAAATTTGCACTGAATATAATCATATAATATAGTATATAACAGTTCCAAAAAAAGTATTGCCTTATTGAAAACCACACATCCAGAAAAACACCCTTTAATAACTTTCCTCTTTCTTTCGACTCTTTAAGAAAAACGATCTACATCATAATCGATCGTTTTTAGGCCTTTTTAAAGATTCGGTGCACTGAAAGATGAAAATCATATCTGCGGAAGATATGAAGAAGTTTATGATGGGCAGCTCCCAGAATCTTGGAAAGTCATCGGAAGATTAAATAAGGCAGCAATGTAGGTTTCCAAAGAGGTGGTGACATCTACTTTACTGCTGCTAAGGTTTTACGCTATACCCCATAGTTTAGTAAGAGCGATGGAGACTATCCTTATGTTCGACACACCTCCGCTGGTTGTCGACACTTTGACTAAAACGACAGGCACATTGAACGGCCTTATGAAGAATATTAATTTTTACGCTTCTAGAAGCTTTTGTATACACATATGTTAGGTTGAGTCTGAAGGCAGATCTGATCAGTCTTTGATTTCTTCTTTTTAATACTACTCCAATTCTTAATGCCTTCATCTACCGCTTAATTAGCGCAGGTCTCGCTTACGAGGCAAAAGCGTGTCAGCTGTATTTTTCTCTCGTATCAATTGGAAACGTCCAGATAAGTAAGGCCATTTTTCGTTTAATCTTTTTAAAGTAGTTGAGGTCTTTCTTTGCCTCTGCTTTCAACAGCGGGTGCTGAGGGTATGCGAGTTTTAAAAGCTTCTTCCATCGGCCGTTCGGAGGCCGTAGACCATTTCTTGGGAGTGGTAGCCATAAATAGAAAGAGAAGCTCGGCGGAAAATCGTTTTAGGGTTATATATGGATCGGGGGCACGATGTAGCATATAACGAATGACATTTTACACTCCGCCAGACACCATGAGGTTTAAGCATCCTTAACCGAACACATCGCCGTTTTTTACCTTAATGAGACACAAACTCTTTGAAATTTAAGGAAAATTATAAATTTTACCTAAATATTTCCCTCTTTATTGAATTTGTCTTTCTCTTTGTAGGGAATACACATCCACTTTAGCTTGCAATCGCTTATTAGAATAAATACATCGATAAATTTAAGCACTTTTATTTGATTCTCCCGCCAAAGGAATGAGTTGATCGAAGGGCTGAATCTCGCCGGATATAAGCAGTGTGGATATTAGCCACAAGATTGCACGTAAAACTCTAAACCGTGGCTGGAAGTAGAGAAGAGTAGAAAGTATGTGTAAAAGAATTAAAAAAATAAATCTTTGAACTCACCCAACCGCCAAATGAACGCTGAATAAAGGGCGCAACAATGCCCGTCAACGAGCCAATGCCGTTAGCTATGCCCATGAGTGTGGCTGCGAAATTTGGACTCATATCCAATGGCGTCAATTTTATGCCCGCATAATAGCTGCCCAGAACATTTATGGCGCAATGACAGAAGGCAAAGATGTCGCTGCCCTCGTTGGTACCCAGACATGGTAACAGGCTGTTGTAGAGATTCGGTGCTACGGCAGCTATAGAGGGACATTTTTTTTAAATTAAAAAATTTCATATATGAAAAAAAAAACAAAAAAGTTCGAGCTATCAAAAGGATATCATCTCTGAGTCGTACACGGTACTGGGTTTCAGAAAGGGAGACTCTTTATTGTGTGATTTCTTCAGCTTGTTGCTGTAGAAAATAACAACAGCGGCTGAGCTAAATAGAAAAGGTCCAATCTATAACAAACTTTAGACCACATAAAAGAACTTAAAAAGGGCAAGACGCAATAACTTCTGCCATCAAACAGTCGAGGTATATCTAGAACAGCATTAACACGAACAACATTGTCACCCTTGAAATCGAATGCAGAACCAGTCCTGCTAATAGCTCTCACTTTGAACTGAGTACACAATAGAAAAGTATAGTCCTCTCTCGACAAAGATCAAACTCTACAAGGACTTCGTTCTTCTATGTGTTGCAGAATCGTGGACAATGTTTATATCCGATGAACCGGCCTTGGGAGGCTTCGAGAGAAATGTTTTGCGAAAGATACATATATAGTTATTTGCGCATTGGCAGCTGCGTGTTCTGTAGTCGATGGAACGAGTTATATAATGACACTGAGATGTTACATCGAATAAGAATACAACTACGCTGGCTAGATCATGTCGTCCGAATGGATGAAGGCACTCCAGCTTTGAAATTACTCGCTACAGTACCTACTGTTGAAAACAGAGGACGAAGAACAGCTCCCCTCCGTTGAAAGGATTTGGTGGAGAGCTGCCTGTTTTCACTTGGTATTTTCAAAAGGCGCCAAAGAGCGAAGATAAACAAAGAATCGCGTAAGCGGTACCTGCGACAACGACGAAGAGGATCAGATGGTTCATACGGTAAGTGTCACTGTTAACATTTTTTAAAGCTAAGAAACTAAATCTTCTTTTTTAGTACCCATAACGCTGCACCTACCAACAATTGTCATCAGCTTGCGCACAACTGTCACGGAAATTATCTCATAGTTTACAAGTAGATCCGAGAGTACGCCGGATAGCACGGACAACAGCCAATTCACAATGTAGGGCATTTGGTTCTGCAAACCGTTGAGGAGGTTCTCAAGTAATGGTTGCTTTTTTGCATCTCTGATGAACTGTGGCACCTCAGCGGCGTATTGAAGTTGCGTCCAATCATATTGTACGGTGGCAGAGATCAAAGCCCACATAGGTATATTGCTAAAGATATGCTTCCAAGGAGTTGTTGCCTTTTTTTGTTGACAACGCTTGGCTAAACCAATCTCTTTCTCTAGATATTCTTTTTCCATCACTTTGATATATGGATTTTCTGCTGGCGTATTGTAACATAGGAAGATCTATGGAGAGAAGCTTCAATTTGTGCAAACGAAATAAATAGTTTCCAACACACACACTTACGAAACCAATGAACCACAGCAAAGCGCATATACCAAAGTAATAGAAAATCCATGTCCAATCGTAACGATGCAATAGTAGACCAGCTATGAAATTCCCCATTGAAATACCAATTTGACTGCCACTCAGAACGAGTGAGCCAAGCGTAGCGCGCTCCTTACCGGGCACCCACCTCGACAGTAACTCACTCAATGCCGGATAAGTTGGCCCCTCACTCAAACCGATTAGCAAACGTAACGCCATCAACGCCACTGGGCCACCCCATTTAACCACAAACGGTGTGCATATAGTAAGTAGAGCGGTTATGGCCATGCCTATGGCTAATACCCATTTGCCACCATAACGTATAGCCAGCTGCGCGCTCGGCACATGCGAGAGCACATAGCCCACATAAAAGGAGATCAGTATGAAGGTTTGTAATTGATCAGACCAATCATAGTAGCCGAGGCGTTCGTGTTTTCTGCGTGCGAAGCTCGTCAAGCTGCCATTACGATGTTGCTCCATACGTTTGTAAATATTGAATTCGCTCATTTTGATTTGATCGAAATTCGGCACGAGCGTGCGTCGCTCTTGAGGCGCCACAATATGCGTCAAGGCGATGTCCAGGCAGTGACGCATTGTGTAGGCGTTGACGATGGCGAGGAAACCGAAAAAGCAGAGTATAAAGCGTTGCGGCACATTATTTACTGCAGGAAGAGAAATGCAAACATACATACACCTATGTACATGTAATTGGCGGTGAGTAATAGTTGTAGGACATTTGATGATATCCTTTTAGTTTATAAAAATTTTCTACAAGCGTTGCATTATTATACTATGTACATATGTACGTATGTATGATTGTAAATGTTTTCCCTTTGAACTCATTTCACTCACACAAATCGTATAACTGTTTTTGTTTAGCCTGCAACCACGGCAGATGTTTCTTTATCAATGCGCCGATCTGCGGGCTTTGTTGTGCAAGCCAAAAATTTTCCATCGCCGTCGCCATACAGCATACCAATACGATTTTTTTCTCGAAAATTATTAAAATAAAAATATAAGCAAAAAACGCGATTTATAAACTTCAGTGCGGTGGTTCCAAACTTCGTGTTCAGTTGAATGTTAAAAACCAGCGAAAGGATGCCCGGATTTATGTCGAGGAAAAGAAACCAGCAAACATTTGCACGAAAAGATTTTGAATTGCAGATGTCCAATGATGTGATAAATCACAGTGAGGGCAATAAATTTTGTGGAATCGAAATTGTATACTGTCAATTTTTTCTCAAAAATATTTTTATTTTTTTTTTTCAAAATAATAATTAAAAAAAAAAAAACAAATTTAAATGGACAGTGATGTTTAAAAAACACTATAGAAGATTATAGAACATGAAAATTAGGAAAAGAAAAAAATCGTGGAGTTAAAGTTAAACAATAAAGATGAACAGTTTCTGGTCATGTCGGATCGTATTTATGGCTTTCATGACGATATCAAATTTATGGTATTTCATCCCTTCTCTGAACAAATTGGTTATACGGTGGCTATAACTTATAGTCGTCCGATTTCGATTATTTTCGGTGCCAATATTTATTTATAGATACGAATCTAGAGTACCACGTTTTTTGCTCTTAGCTGCTTCTGACGGATTTTGGACTAAAAATCTCATATCTGAGCGAATCAGTTGGAAGAGAACATTATATAAAGATCAGTCTTCAGTATGAAAATACATCTGCTTACCATGTTTGGTTGAAATATCTATAAAATTGACGTTGTTAAATCTATTCAACTCGTCATTCTGATCTGTTTGGTGCAAATTTTGGTGGGTTAATCTCTAATCCTTTGGGTACATATGCCTGAAGGCATAAAGAGAGGACTGAGAATTCTTTTAATTTTTTTATTCCTAGAATTTTTCCATATTTTAGAAATGCCACATCGTACATACACGTAGGTCTGTTGCTACTTTAAAGACCCTGATTGAGATTCAGCTTAATTCAAGGTAAAATAGTTATAGGCGTCAACGGTTTTTTGAGACGTTCAAGATCGTCTTTATATACATATTTATATTTTTGATGCCTCAGATCCTCCAGTCCTCTGAACTACCAGACAATTCATGCAACGGAGGAGGTGTTCTAACATCTTAGATAGCATGCCTCTATTATACCCGCTCTCTCATCAATTTCATTTTACAGAGCCACTAAGGTCTTTCGAAAGTCCTATGATGAGGCTTCAATGTTGTCACCTAATCACTGTTTCCATAGATCAAAGTAAGACCATCATCGTGTATACTGTGTTGATTTGAATGTTCCTTTTTGACAAAAATCTTACAATTTCAATGAATATCAAAAGCCAGTAGTTAAGTCTAAGTAAAAACAAGCTACAATTTTATGAAGCTCCAACAATAATAACTATTTCTCTCCAATATTTCTTTAAGACAGTGGTGAAATAACGAAATTTTGTTTTAAATAATTAATTTGTTCATTTTCTATATTTTCAGTCTTTCTTTTATGTACATAGGATTCATTCTTTCTACGAACTAATTAACATTTTAAGTCTAAGTTCTTACATAACTACATTTTAATCTAGAGAGATCTATTCCTAAATTACATTTGTGTTTAATCTACTTCCTCCACGGTAGGTCCAGTGTGACCACCATTGAATCCGCCAGCCTGTTGACCGCAGGACGCTCCCTGACCCGCGCCACCACCACTGTGCAATTTCGTCATGATGGGCGAGCACAGTTTGGTCAGTGAGTTCATCTTGTCTTCGTACTCTTCTTTGTCGGCCAACGTGTTAGCATCGAGCCATTTGATTGTGTCATCACAAGCCTTCAGTGCTTCGCTCTTCTCCCGCTCACTCAGTTTGTCACCAGCGTTGTCCAGCGCTTGCTTCACGCCAAACACGTAACTTTCCAAACTATTTCTGGCTGCGATCTTATTGCGTTGGCGCTCATCTTCTTCAGCATAGCGCTCCGCTTCGTTCACCATACGATCGATTTCGGCTTGCGATAGACGTCCTTTGTCGTTCTTGATGGTTATGTTTTTGGCATTGCCCGAACTCATTTCCTTCGCCGACACATTAAGTATACCGTTGGCGTCCAGATCAAAGGTTACCTCAATCTTTGGTACTCCACGTGGTGCTGGTGGTATGCCGGATAAGTCGAAGGTGCCCAAACGGTTGTTGTCTTTAGTCATCACACGTTCACCTTCATACACCTGAATGTTAACACCAGGTTGGTTGTCCGAGTATGTTGAGAATGTTTGCGTTTGTTTGCATGGAATTCGACAATTTCTTTCAATGATCTTCGCCATGACACCACCAGCCGTCTCGATACCAAGGGACAGTGGCGCTACATCGACCAATAGCACGTCCTGAATTTCAGTGCTCTTGTCGCCACTCAAAATAGCTGCTTGGACTGCTGCACCATATGCCACCGCCTCATCGGGGTTGATGGAGAGGTTCAGGCTCTTGCCACAGAAGAACGACTGCAGTAGACTTTGCACCTTTGGTATACGTGTGGAACCACCAACCAAGACGATATCATGTATCTGGTTCTTGTCCATCTTCGCATCATTCAGAGCTTTCTCGACTGGTTCCAAGGTTTGACGGAACAAATCAGCGCACAGTTCCTCGAAGCGTGCTCGCGATACTTTTGTGTAGAAGTCAATTCCCTCGAACAGCGCATCAATTTCAATTGTGGCCTCTGTGCTGGATGAGAGAGTACGTTTAGCACGTTCAGCGGCTGTACGTAGACGACGCAGGGCTCTTGGATTCGAACGCAGATCTTTCTTATATTTGCGCTTGAACTCCTCTGCCAAGTGGCTCACCAGCCGGTTGTCGAAATCTTCACCACCAAGATGTGTATCGCCTGCGGTGGCACGCACTTCGAACAGCGAACCTTCATCAATGGTTAAGATGGAAACATCGAAGGTACCACCGCCCAAATCGAAGATCAACACATTCCTTTCACCTTTGAGATTCTTGTCCAAACCGTAAGCTAAAGCGGCGGCAGTGGGTTCGTTGATGATTCGTAACACATTCAAACCAGCAATTCGACCAGCATCCTTTGTCGCCTGACGCTGTGAGTCGTTGAAATATGCAGGCACTGTGATGACCGCGTCTGTTACTGTTGTGCCCAGATAAGCCTCTGCGGTCTCCTTCATCTTGGTCAACACCATGGAACTGATTTCTTCTGGTGCGAATCGTTTGTTTTCTCCTTTGTACTCCACGCTGATTTTCGGTTTGCCACCATCGCTTACCACTTTGAATGGCCAGTGCTTGACGTCCTCCATGATCTTCGGGTCATCATACTTGCGCCCAATCAATCGCTTGGCATCGAATACTGTGTTCTTTGGATTCATCGCCACCTGGTTCTTGGCTGCGTCGCCAATGAGACGCTCGGAGTCTGTGAAGGCAACATAGCTGGGTGTTGTGCGGTTGCCTTGGTCGTTGGCGATAATCTCCACTTTGCCATGTTGGAAGACACCAACACAGGAGTACGTTGTTCCCAAATCAATACCGATTGCTACCATTTTGGCTTGTGTTGTTGTTTTGCTTATTCTTCTTATACTTCAATACTTTAATAGATACTTTTTACTAATACTTGTTGTTGTTATACTTTTTACTAATACTTGTTGTTATACTTTTCACGAATTCAAATATCAGTTTGTGTTAAAACACTTTCACGTTTTTTTGTTTGTTTGTCACAATCTCTTTGCGAGTTGTTTATTGTTTGCTTGTTAATTCAATTCTGAAACGAAGAGCGTTCACGGCCGGTATTTATACCAAACGCACTCTTCGCGGAAGCTTCCAGAGTCTCTTTCTCGAAACTTCTACGACAATCTATCAGCGGACTGGCTATTTCTGAGCGAAGAGCAGCTGTCGTGTACAGAGCTGCTTATCTAGCTGTGAGATTCATAATATATATACTACATACAAACAATACATACAATACATACGTTGTACATATGTTTTCTTTGCTTGTAGAGAAAGAGTGTTCGAAGTGCAACCTTAACTCTCTTCACTTGTGTTCCTTGGGCAGCGGAGCACAGTGGGAATGGCTTAAATAAACGGTCCACAATTTTAACGGGCTTTAATAGTGGCTACATTGCAGAGATTCTCAGAAGGCCGATGGATTTCCGTGAGAAATTTTTTTATGTTAAAGCCAGATCAAAAATGTTTCATTCCCTGTTTAGACTCATTACCTTCCCCCTGATCGTTAGCCGCAAATTCCTAAGAATCAATAGCAGATAGCGGAATTTATATCAAATTGTTAGAACGATTTTTTACCGCTATCAAAGAGATTGAAGACCTTCAAACCTACAACACCAGTTGTTTTTCTTTTAGTTTTTTCTTGCCAAAAGAAAAGGAATATTTATTTATTTTAAATTTTGAATCCGAAAGTGTTTTTTTTTAATAAATAGAAGATTCGTCGTGGAAAATGTCTATCTTTTGAATAAATAGGTCGAAATAAAGCATATCAGGATTTGGGGATATCTCAACGGGAGATCGATAGAAAAATTGCCGCGAGCATGTAATTGTGGCTCATATTTCATGGGGGCTTATGACAACAAGAAGACGTAGCAATTTAGATAAAAGCCAACAACAAATTAAAACCGAACTAAAACTGAACAAATTTGCGCAAAGGAAGAAACCCAGATGGTTTTAATTATTACTGGAAGGACTTACCCAAGGAACCCATTTATTTCGCTAAATGGAACTCTGATGGCGGCCTTTTTCAAATAATTATTATTTTTCTTTAAATTTTTGATCAAAGCGAATGAACAGTGAGGACTATCAGAAATAACTTCAGGAAAATCATTTTTCCAACAAAATGACTCTCCGGTACATTGAGGTAGATCAAGCAAGTCTTAGTGCAGTAAGAATGGTGTTGATCTTCTTAGTTGATCAGGTTCTTTTATTTTAAAAATCTTTGGGACCCACTTGTAGCTCTTTTAGAAAATAGAGGGACATAACAGGTTACTAGAATTAAAGTTAAATAAAAAAGCGAGCTTAAATGAATTGTTGGAAGTAGTGGAAGGGAGTTGTGAGACAGATAATTTTGTATCTTTCTTCAAAGCAGAGAAAATCGTACACACAATTTAGAATAAATACAGTTATTGGTTCTTAGTTCTCACCGCTACTCGCCTTCCCAAAATATCGTCTTGTCCTACAATCAATAATTTTGAAGCAATTGGAAAATTTTAAGTCGACGAACCCAGCGTTACCCACCTCCCGCCCAACCTACCGAGGGACACCTGAGGGATAATTGAAAAATCCAACAGACCGGTGACCGAAAACCAGTAA